AATCATGCTTCAAGTGACAGATCTGGATCGCACCGCCAGCTTCTACGAGAAGGAAAAATTGAACTTTTAACCTTTTGACACTACCAGAGACGGGACATTCTAGTTCAAAGGTATCAGGAAGTGTCATAATCGATCATTGACATATATGATTGAATCTTATTTATTGTCAAAACTATCGGAGGAAGTGTTCGACCAAACTCGAAAAGTTGATTTTGCTGCGAAATGATATCCGTGACTGTCATCTGCCGAATCCAATCTCATCCTTTATCCTCTTGAGGCAATAAAGAATCAGATATTCTGCTCTATTTCACATTCCTGAGAACTACTTGCTTCTTTTACTCCATCTGGAACAGCAAAAATAACTTTAAATGTGATCTCTTTTTCCAGAATAAATCATATGTTTATGCATTTCCTTTGCCTAATTGCGCTGCAACTATGCGTGCAGGCATTGGGCATGAACATACTCCTGAAGTACGACAGCCCTCAAGATCAGGTAATTGATAACTCAGAATAATCAAAACTAACAGAAATATGGACATAATGCTCCGTCTAACTGTATGTTTTATTTGCAGTTTGCAATAGCTATGGTGGGTTATGGGTCAGATCAAACTCAGACAACTGTCATTGAGCTCAAGTACAACTACAATGTGACCGAGTACACCGCAGGCGATGCATATGTTCAGGTAAGTGAGATGAATTTCGCCCACACCTAGTTTGTTTGTTCAGGCTACCTTAAGTTCATGCGCTAATCAGTCCAACTGTCTCAATTTAAAGGCTGCAATAGGCACCAACGATGTATACAAAAGCGCAGCTGCTGCTTGGAGGGAAGATTGTTCGCCCGCCAGGCCCGAATCCTAAAACCAACACCACAATGACTTCATTCCTTGACCCCGATGGCAGGAAAACCGTGAGTCCTCACCCTCCAATCTTTTTCTTCACCTTAAGGTTCTGCCCGATGTTGACTGCGAAACATTAGTAAAGCTCTTAATGAGAAGAAAAACTATGCTGTGCTCTATAAGCTTATTGTTTAGCAATCGTCCTCGGTGAGATCTCTTGATTATGTCTAGGCTTCTAGTCATGTTACATGAATAAAGAACAATTGACGAAGAATTGATGGAAATTTCTATGTTTTTTTCTTTTCTTCTCTGTTCATATATGCCTTAGCTAGTATATATAACCATTTGTTATACAGCTGATATAGTTGCATGGTGTGATTATCGTTTACAGGTTTTGGTGGACAATGAGGATTACCTGAAAGAGATAAAGAATTATGGCCAGTGAGATCGACGGCTTCATTGACAAAGATTGATTCTGATTGCACTTTTTTACAGTTCCAATAAATTGTCCATTGTCAAGGCAAATAATTGAATTGCTCGTTTTACAGCGAGACAGTTTGTAATAAGATCATATTCATTTTATGGAAGGATATGCGCTTCACATTCTTTTTCTGAGTCCTCACTGTGGGAACCTGGGGTATCGCAATTTGATACCCGCCTTTAAGATTCGCTTGACAGTGGAACATGAAATGCTTCCGCTTCGAGAAAATTTTTTTGCTCGGATGAAATTCTGCATCCTGATCCATGGCCTGTCTTTGGATACCACAACTACGTTGTATGTAAACTGTTTCTCCATACAATCTTTTGGTTGATGCCCATTAATATATTACCATAAGCTCGATTGAACAAGAATCATAGAAAGCTTTGTATGCTGAAGACAAGAAAAATGTCCAAATTGCCGATCACCTTTTTGACAAGAGATCGAGGACTTCTTGTTAAGCTCCGTGACTTATTTGCTTATCCTAAACCAAGACCAATGTACTCTTGGTTTAGATAGATTACATTCCCATAATCTTAAACTCTCTTTTACCAAAGTCTTCTGCTATACTTTAAGCTTGAGATGAAAATGCTTAAGCATAATGAGCGGTTGGTATGCTGCTTTCTTCTATGGTTCTTTCTGGTAAATTAAACTCTCTTATCCTCCTACACAGCTATAAAATGTGATTCAGAACTTTTCATTTGGGTTTAATGGTGTGAGATCCTCATAGAATCTCGTCAAGCATCCAATTTGATCCGTGGATCATATTCGCTCATGTTGTCACGCAAATGTCCAGCGGATGGTTATGAGCGCCGTGGCAGCTGAGAGTGATACACGAGAAACTGTACTGAACTGGGTGATAATGACCACTGTCGCTTCCTCAGCATGGTGATCAGAGTCGGAGACCTGATTCATACCCTCGAGTAAGCTGATGTTAATGAAGACCATATTACATCCTTCCGAACACTTTCCGGTGTTAGCTATGTGATTCGCAGGGTTTGCGCCAATTGTTCTGGGGTGAAGTTGGTTGATTTGAAGAGATGACCAGGAAAGGAAATAGTCCAAGGTGGTTCTGGGTTATGGACCTCAAGAGTCTCACTTTGTGCTGGAGTTGATCCAGAGCATGCTTATTTGAAGCCTTCCTTTAGACTTCAGTATTTCTCCCTAGGATTACAGAGATTCAGTCAGATTCGTTTCAAGGATTGTAATATTGTCTGATTAAAATTACCAAAATTTTCTCTATAACAGTTGTTCCGCCCGGAATGAGCAGTGATCGGAGTGGAAAAACTTAAAGTTGGGGCGAACAATTCTGAATTGCTAATCAAGATGTGAGTATGCAGCTGTTATTATCGAACAGGTTGAATGAGGAAACTCGTAACAGAAGCTTTGTTTCGTTGACCATTAGATATATGTCATGGTGAAGAAAGTGGGGGAATACAGCAGGATCTTCACGTGCGAGCCAGGGACTTTCAGTACAGGATCGGCAGTTTTTGCCTTGGTGGAGGATTTCGACAGTTACAGCTTCGAGCTCCCATAGAGTGAGCCGACACCAGAACCGCTTTGCCAAGTAATGCTTCACGTAGCTGATCTGGACCACGCAATCGGCTTTCTATGAGACAGCCAAAATTCATTACCAACATCTCAGTTATCGAGCAATTCAAGATGGGGTACCTAAGTACTTCGGATTACCGGTTGGACAACACTTTATTTTCTCTTCCTGTAATGGCAATTGTTAATCTGATCTGTACTTTGGTATGCAGGCCTTAGGGATGAACCTGCTTCTTATATCGAGGGTCGAAAAACATGGATTGACTGAAAATTGATTACTAACATTCACATTTCCTTGCAGTATGCAGGAGCGTCGGTGGGCTATGGTTCAGACGATACTCAGATTACTGTTGTGGAGCCTATGCATAATCAGAGTCTCACTGAGCAGATGGATGTGTACAGGTCAGGCATAGTAGGAGTAGCCAATTTGCTTCCAGTAATCGGTTCGAGCTTTCGCATTTCAAGATCGCTATAGGGACTCGACGATGCATACAAAAGTGCAGTGGCCATGGAGTCGGTGGCTCAGGAAGCCGGGGGACAGATCGGTCGACCGCCCGGCCCGATTTCAAGAATCAACGCAAAGATCGCTTCATTACATTACATTACAAAAGTGAAATGCGTGTTTGAACAGGTTAATAATCCGATTATGAGCATGTAAGTTATATCTTATACCGGTGGACCTAATGAAAATTCAATTTTATGTGTTACCCATGTATTAAATTTTTATAAAATTTCTAAATTTCGATCCCCTCTTTCTCTCTAAATTTCTGTATCTCACTACTAGATTAATTATTTAGACTCCGCGAGTACAATGAAGGAATCTCAGGTGGGATCTATAGCAATTAGCAATCAATGACCAATGCATAAAGTAGTAAGCATGAGTTGGGAGTTCACCTAACATAGCTAATGCCAGTTAATTTGCAAATTTGTATATGATTCAATGCTTAGATCACGCGTGAGTTTTTTGCTGTTCTTTTTTCTCCTGATCTCACAGTGAGCCAGTACTTGTTAATGTCTATGTGACATTCGATTTCACTTATGCCAAATATTTGATTCTTCTGGATAGTATGATCAGATTAAGTATACTTAATAAGTGTTTCGGCCCCGGCTTTCTTCACCGAGCAAGGTGCCATATCGTCATGTACATTAGAGAATACGAGCTATTTTACTTTTGTCTGAGAATGATATTGTGTAGTTTGGGACGACATATTGTGGAACATTTCGTAATTCGTATAGTTGGTATTACACTAACCAAATTTATCTTTTTTTCCGGCAAAGGAAAGAGGAGTGTTTTTTGCAGTGTGCCAGAAATTACATTAAGGAATAATTACATAATAGTCTTTGAATTTTGATCCAATATGCAATGTTGTTTATGAACTTTTAATTTATTTAATATGGTCCATGATCTTTTGGTAAATATTCAATCTAGTCCATGGACTATATGAAGATGTTCAATGTTGTCCTTAGGGGGGCTTAGTGAGCCAATACGGGCTAAGAGAATCATTCCGCCAATCCGCAACATTGAGCTTCATATAGTCCAAGCCCATTGGAATGATTCTCTTAGCCCGAATTGGCTCACTAAGCCACCCCCCAGTTCTCTATGTTCTTTATTATGTTTCAATTTTGAACCCTCTTATGGTTTAAGTTCCGGTTATTAATGAAGTAATGCACTTTGGCGACAAAAAAACATATAGTCCTGTGCGGGGGACTAAATTAAACATATTCTAAAATTTTATGGATCGCATTAAACAAATTAAAATTTTAAGGACGACATTGCACATTGATCTAAAATTCAGGGACCACATTGTATATTAAGCCAAAATTGAGCGATTAAATTAACCATTTAGCTAATGACGCAATCATAGGCCAAAGATCACCAATCATTAATCACTAACGATATAATTAATCGGTGACTCCTCCCGAATTCGAGGGACAGCGAGGGTGGAACACACGCGCCAGCGCTTTCCTTAGCCAGACATCTCCGCGGAATATAGAAAGACCAAAATGCCAAGAGAGGACAGAAACCAAACGGGCAGCGGGCAGAGCGACACGGGGCCCATCTCCGGGCAGCAGGGGCAGCCTACGCGCCCCCTGCCCTCCCCTCCCCCCTTCGTCCCACTATAAAACGCCGTTTTCCCCTCTCACACGCCGCAACAAAAGCGCACCAATCATTCTCCCAACCACCCGGCCCTCCGAACCTCAGCCTCGGCGTCCCAAGCTTCCAGGCTCGGTCGCTACCACCACCTCGAAAAAGTCCAAAAGCTCGACCCTCCAAATTACGCAGTCCCAACCGAAAAAAAGAAAAAAGGAAAAAAACACAGAGAGAGAGAGAGAGAGAGAAAGGGAAGGCTCTGTTTCTAGAGAGAGAAGCTAGAGAGAGAGAGAGAGAGGGATCGGAGGTTTTTTAGAGAGGGAAAGTCGGGCTCGGGGGGTTTTAGCCAGCCACGGCGGGCATGGTGCAGATCGTGAAGCGGAAGAAGGGGCGGCCCCCGAAGTCGGATCTGGCGAGGAAGCCGCCCCAAGCGCCGGCGCCGGAGCGGGAGCCGGAGCCGGAGCCGGAGCCGGAGCCCAGCGTCCGGCGGAGCGTCCGCCGGCGGAGCTCGAGGTACGGCTTCGTCGGCTACGACGGCTTCATCCACGGCGACCTCGTCTCGGACGACGACGGGGAGGAGGAGGTGGAGGCGGAGGTAATGAGGAGGGAGAAGAAGATGAAGCTCGTGGTGAAGCTGGACCAGAGGGCGCGCGGGGGCCGCGCGTCGGGATCCGAGGAGGAGGACGGGAGCGAGGGGAAGGCGGTGAAGAAGAGGAGGATTGGCGGCGGCGGCGGCGGCGGCGGTGGGGACGAGGACGAGGATCGCGAGGAGGTATGAACTGGGATCGGATCGATCGGGGAATTGAACGAGAGGGATTCGACAAAGGGAGAGTGTGGTTGCTTTAGGTCTTTGAGCTGGGCTCTGATGATTAACGCTCAGATTTCTTCTTGTCTTATTGGTCCAAACTTCTATGATGCTCAGTGCTCACTCTGAGAGTCTGAGCACGCACTCTCTCTCTCTAAAATCTCTCTTCGATAGAGAGAGAGAGAGAGTAACGGCAAGGTCAACTGTCAAAAACTAACGCACGAAAAGAATCTGATCACGCTCACGAGTCCCACCATTCTCTCTCTACCTCTCTGTGGATCAGGAATTTGATTCTCCCTCTCTCTCTCTCTCTCTCTCTCTCTCTCTCTCTCTCTCTCTCTCTGTTGTCGCACTTTCTCTCTCTAACTACGTATGCCTTTGGGCTGTCTCTTTCTCTGTCCCGGTCCCTGTCCCTGTCCCCATCAAAGCACCCATAAAGGAAATCTCGCATTTATATATGTGCAGCGTCATTTTCGTTTTTCGTGGGGGGTCCTCGAGCTTCGTGGGTCTTATCTAAGGTTGTGGTGTTTATCATGTGGACTTGACAGGAAAGGAAGGGACGTGAGGAGAGTTCCAGAGTACAGCATGAGTCGTCTCCTCCAGGTTAGTCCCGCCCCCCCGCGGTCTTCCTTAATTTCCAAGCGGAGCGAACTTCAATAGTAATTCTGTGCGTGTTTTTGGTTGATTGGGGATGAGTCTGATGATTTGTCGTTTTTTTGGCTTTTGGGTTTGTCTTAGGAACACCGTCGGGCGCATCCAGCATTCCGTTGCCTGATAAGAAGACACTTCAGCTGATACTTGACAAACTTCAGAAGTATGGAGCTTCTGACTTTCCTTTTCTCAATTGGGTTGGTTTTTTCCATTGCCTGTTAGAAGGGAGTGAGCTGCCTCCTGATGTTGCAATTGTCTATTTGGTCAAATCATGACAGGAAGGACACATATGGCGTGTACGCGGAGCCGGTTGATCCTGAGGAGGTATGTGCGATTCTCTGTGTTAGATTTCCTTTTCGAGCACATGGTTGTTCAAAGATATATTATATGACGATGGTGGTGAGAACTTTTGTTTGCAATTTCTGGTTTTCCTAGCTTCCAGATTATCATGATGTGATTGAGCACCCAATGGACTTTTCCACAGTAAGGAAGAAGCTGGCCAATGGATCATACGCAATGTTGGACCAGTTGGAGGTGAGTATTGATTATGTGGTTTTGCTTGGTTTTTTGGTTGGTGAATGAGCTCCTTAATGTTCGAATGATCTTCTTCAGGTCCCAAAGTCTGCAACGTATTTCTTTGTCTGGGAAAAAATCTTCATCACACCATCTTAACTTAGCTTAGTTCAATAATGTTTAACTTTTAGAGCCATCCGTTTCTCTTTGATTGCAACTTTTTGTGCTTATGATGGTTGTAGAAGAGTTGCGCATTGGTGATTAAACAGATGAATATTGTAGCCGAGTGGAAGAGTAATTGCTGAAAAATTTTCAGCCTTTCTCGTGAACAATGGTCATATTCTGAGTGTCTGTATATGATGATATTGTTAGGTTCTCATGGATGATGACGGGGATTTTTTAGGTGTCTAAACCCATCACCATTATATGGCATGGAAAAAGTGTGTGCTTTTGGGTTGATGGGGACAGATTTTCATTTTTCACCATGTTTGGCAAAATTTTTCCTTTTTTTTATGACAAATCTCCCATGATTGGTTAAAATGTTCTTTAGCAAAGCGCAGGGGGAATATAGGTGTTGAAGATATATGTGGATAATTGGGACTTGTTGGAGATTGCAATAGCGATTGCCAGTGTGAAGTTGGTTATAGAGGGGTTCTTGCAGTTGCTATGTTGTAGCTGTCCTTTTGGAAACGTCTACAAGTTTTTGGTGAATTTTTTAGTCAGGCTGTCATGCTGGTTCTCGACATGTTGTCATGGTTATTACATATTTATCACCCCATTAATTAGTCTCTACTTTACCTTTCGGTAGAGACTGGAAGCATAATTGAACCAGATTTAATTGTCTAAGAAGTTTTGAAAATGAACAAGACTACTTCCACCTTGTTTATTCTGAAAAATTCATGTTCTTTAATGCAGAGCGACATTGTCCTCATCTGCTCAAATGCAATGCGATACAATGCACCGGACACTATATACCATAAACAGGTTTAAGCTATTTGCTTTCTTCTACAAAGGTTTCTCGTCCTCTGCTTTCAGAGCCCTTAAACTTGTCACTGTTTTAAATTGAAAAGGCACGTGCCATTGAAGAACTTGGGAGAAAGAAATTCAGTAAGTTGAAAATCAAGTTTCAGCGCTCTGAGAAAGAGCTCAAGTCAGAAAGGGAAGCAAGGATTCAATTTGAAAGCCATGAGAAAGATCTCAAGTCCGAGCAGAAACCAAAATCCAATTATTTGGTGAAGAAGCAAATCAAGAAAGCGGTGTCCCGGTCCTTGCAGGAGCCCGTTGGTTCTGATTTATCTGTGGGTGCCACTCTTGCTACTCCTGGAGATGTCGAGAGTGGTTCTGCTGCAAAGAAAGTAGGTGTTTCCGAGAGACCCAATGATGGACCTGCAGATGGTAGTACCCTTCTGGCTGAAAATATTCTAGAGAAAGCAGAAGAGGCATTCATAGGTATGTTGAGTTGAGTAATTTGACTCCACACTTCGTAGACACGTTAAGGCAGGGACTGAATACCCAGAATGCCCATTTTACATTATGCACAAGAGAGATATGTTTCACAGTCGATTAATTTTGTCAGAATCAATTGACATGATAGTTCTTTTCTAGTCTCATACATTGGTGGGAAGATACTTGCCATAAAATTTATTTAAGTTGTGCCATCTCCTGGTGTGCTGTCCTACCCATACATTTCCTGATAGTGGAGTTCTTGGCCTTGAATTTTCAGCACTCTTTGTTAATTTCAGGTAAAAGTTCATCATCAAAGCTAGGGCGGAAACCGTTAGCACTTGATGAGAATCGTCGAGCAACTTATGGCATATCAAATCAACCAGAGGCGAGATCAGAGTCAGTATTCACAACTTTCGAGGGTGAAATCAGGCAACTAGTAGCTGTATGTACCAATAAATTCTAATATATTCTAAGCTGTTCAGACTTCATGCTTATCCAGTCATTTTTTCCCCTGAATCAGGTTGGACTCCATGCAGACTATTCCTATGCTAGAAGTCTGGCTCGTTTTGCAGCAACACTTGGGCCAATTGCTTGGAAAGTTGCCTCCCAGAGGATTGAGCAATCAGTACCTGCTGGATGTAAGTTTGGTCGTGGATGGGTTGGGGAATATGAGCCACTTCCAACCCCAGTGGTATTGCCTGGAAACTGTTTCAATAAGGATTTGCTGCATAGTGTTGTTAAGAAGCACAACTTGCCCTCCAAAGCACCAGTGTCTGTAAAGGAGAATGCTGTCAGTACTTCAGCTTCGGAAGTGAGACAGCCTTTGGTTTGTCAGGGTAATCTTTCAACCGTATTGAGTTCTGCTCAATCCAGTTCAGCTGTCACGACCAATCATCAGACACCAGGTCCAGTTTGCAGGAATCCCAATGACCCTGAAACTAAGGTCGTTAAACAGTTTGAATTGAACTCTTTGCCTTCACCGCGTCAAATCAATAATGCTACTTATGTAGCAGAAATGAAGGTTTCTGATAATTCAGAAATGGCTGCATCAAGATTGAGGGATATTTTATCAAGTAACTTAAATAATGTCCAACCTGATTTGTCAGAACCTGCAGCATCAAGGTCTAGAGAGATGGTATCAAGGAGTGTAAAGCACCCGCAGTTAATGCATTTTAGACAGTTGGATGCTGATGGGTTTGCGGACGGAAGATTGCCAAATGGGAAACTTCCAAACAACACTTTAGATAGTAGCAAGGTGACCTCTATATCCAATGGTTTCACAAACAAAATGCCCATGGCAACACCTTTTTCTCCAAGAAAGGATCAGGGGCTTAGCGATCCTGTTCAGTTGATGCGAATTTTGAGTGAAAAGGCTCAAGAAAAACGGATTTCTCTGAGTGCTTCCAGTGTCGACGGTCCTTCAATCAGGGCACCTCTTCCTTCATTGAGAATGAGCAGTTCAGGCAATGTCGCTGCAGCTGCATGGATGTCCGTGGGGACTGGAGGCCTTAAACAAACTGTGGAAAGTTCTCACACAAAGAAGAGTCGAGTAACAGCAGAACTTTCAAATCAGTCCACCCAAGAACTTCATCCACAAACGGCACGTGCTCATAGCAAACTGCCTGTTTCTTTTGGGATACAGTCTCAAGCAGATAAAAATAACAATCCTCCTCGGTCATTTGTATCGTCCCCTTTCACCTTATCCAGTGAGAGACAATCCCATTTGCGACCAATGATTCCCCCCCAAATAATGACTGCCGACTTGTCTAGATTTCCGGGGCAGCTGCATTGGCGTGGTATCACACCACATACACAGCCGTGGCAGAAACAGGAAACTCTTCCCCCAGATTTGAATATCGGTTTCCAGTCACCAACATCCCCAGCGAAGCAATCTTCTAGTGTTGTGATTGACTCACAACAGCCAGATCTAGCCTTGCAACTCTGAAGTATGTATTCATTGTTGAGGAAATTGACAACAAGGGAACTTCACTAGGTAGTCTTTACTTCCTAACAAATTTTCAGATCCAAAAGATAGCTTCTCTTTGTGGGCGAGCTTGGCAGTATGTCAATTTCCTGACCTCATTTATACCATTCAGGTGGTCAGTCCTTGATGACTGTAAAGCGCCGTCTTGACTTTTCAATTGATTATTCGGAAGGAAGGTGAAGTTAGGTTGATTTTGCAGTACCCCTGCTTGATTCCAATTGTTCTGATGCCAGTTGATTATAATTAAACGTGCGGTTTCCGTAGGTCAGATAAAATTGCCAAGGCAGATGTAGACTCGTTGGAAGATAATTGGTCTCTCTGAGAGGTTCAAGCTCTTACCTGACAAAGATTACCGAGTTGTGATGGCATCTCAACCGGAGGAAATAGAGTTCAGTCAGTACATTATTTATTCTGCATTGCTATTTTGAATTGGAATTTAGAGACCATATAGAGAAAGAAGTGGATGACTTGTAAATGAGAGGCAGATCATAATCACCTGCTTGGATAGGGACTCTTTTGATGTCCTGTACCATGTACTGATTAAAATTCGCAGATTTAACTGCATTTTTTCTTCCTAAGTGCGGTGTTTCGAAAGAAACTGCAGATGTTTCTTTTCGTTGCTATGTGCATTTTCCGAAATTTTTTGCCGAGAGTGTAGCAGGTAGTGGCTACAGATTGCAAGGAGTATGTATATCATGATATTCTACTGGCCTTACCTCACCGTTGCACAATTTGATCAACAACTATCGGATTAAAAACTAAAAATCGGTACACCTTTTGGACCTCGTGAGAGATGGTAAATTTAGAGTGAATTTAGAGTCTCTCGGGATACTTCGGTCTTTTGCTAGTGATTCAGGTTTCTTGATACTCCCTGAGGTCCTTGGTATTATTGGTTTTTGTTTTCAGTCTGGACAACACAGTTTCTTCAATTTGCAATTAACTGTGTAATCTGTGGACGCATAGCCATAGGATATAAAAGGCTGAGTTGTTATTATAAAGTAGCTTCTCATGCAGTACATCATCCAAGGGCCCAAGGTAAAAGCAGGCATTAAGCTCTCTCTTCTTCCACTTCTTTAGGCGAAACAGGCGGAGGCTCAAAGATGCTAAAAGCCCTATAGCCCGATATTACTGCCAGAACAAGGAAGCAGCAAAGTGCTAGGAAATGCAGGATCAGAGCCAGCTTCACTTTACTGCAAAACCTCCCATAAGAAATGCAGGCTTCACTCCAGGTGACCCCTCGATCCCCTTTGTAAGCCAGATACAGTATCTCTAGCACTGCTGCCCCAGATGTGACCATCAAATAGGCCATGATCTGCGTGAAATACATGATTCATACGTGGAAAAAGAAAAGGAACTGAGTCAGGTATTCATGGTTAAGTGGAACAATAATGAAACTCCAACAAAAATCATAAGGCAGTCCTCCAGCAAAGATGAAGTTTGGTTAATTAGCATTTATCTAAAAAGCTCTTCCGGTCTAGCTTTCTCATATCTTCACTAGATAAACCTTACCTTTATGCAAAGCATTCGGGAAGACGAATTTCGTTTCGAGAGGATAAATCGGGGATAAATAAGGGTCAGCAATTAAACCTGGTCAGGGATAAAGAAAAGCCATGCTTTAGCCACCAAGAACTTGAGCAAGTTACAGGCGGCGGAAGCAAAAGCATAAGCAGCACATATCCCACTGATCCAAACCATGTACCTGTGTCATAAAACAGTTTAATTTACTTAGAGAGTATATTAATACATTGAAATCATGAAAAATGTTACCCAGACAAAATATCTTACTTGAGCCCCAGGAAATTTTGGGACTCTATCTTCCCATAGCTGCTGTTGTCTTGCTGGTCGGTGTTGGTCAACCAGATGGTGGCAACACTCAATGGGACTGCAGAAATCCTCAGGATACAATCAAAGAACTTGAGAAATGGGGTTTGCTTATCTGTGGAGAAGGGTCCATTATCTTCAAGACTCATTTCTGAAATTTGAGCCACGAACAGAAGACTTGAACATGGGAAAGATAAAGGAGATTTTGTAAACTAATATGTGTGGGTGGTGGAACTATATACTCGATTTCTCCTCATGTGAGAAGGCAATGATCGAAAAGAGACCGTAGTAATATAAGAAGCGTGCTTCGAAGTGGAGAGGAGTGAGAACTAGTGGACTTCACTTTTTGGTGTAGAAGAGAGTATGTGTTGTTTTTTAGTTTGGTGCATTAGTAGGATTGGAATGATAGTGCATTCCACTTGGCGAAGCTGGTCCCGAATGGCTTTTGATTTCGGTCTCCAAATGTTTTGATTGCTCAAGCAAATCTACATCATTGGATTAGGTGTGGCTTCTTTGAAGTGCGTTCATGTACTCAATGAAACTCATGAAAAGAGGGGACTCCACATCTCATTCTAGAGGTGAACTTGTCAGGAGGAGGTTTCTTGGACTGCAACATGAAGTGCAGCATCAATAAATAGGGAATATATTCTATGGTCCAATAGAAAAAATTTCAACCGTCGGATGATTTTAAAAGGACGATAACTTACAAACAATTAAGGAAAATCACTGACTATAAAATTGCCAATGTTACAATTGACTATGGAAAATTCTGACATAAGAGGAAAAATACTCTCGAACAGAGCCTTTAAGTTTACTTGTGAAAGAATGTTATGATCATTGAGCTAAGTTACTAAGAATAAGAAAAAGAAATTTAAGATATATTCAGGTTGATTACGATTTTTTAAGGAAAATTATGGATGCTGGAAAATTCAATTTTACGAGATTTTAAGGTAAATTACAATGATTACTTACTTTTTCTTTACGATGAGTTATAGGAAAATTATGACTGATGAGGACACTTACTAAGTCTAGCTATTATTACTCACGACAACTTGAGGTTTTATAATACCATTAGTGAATTACTAGGTGTTAACACTTTTCTGTTACGGATATTAAAAGGTAAATTACTCGCTACAAACGCAAGTTGTGATCCATAAAGCGAAATTACTATCTCTAAGCGCAATCAACTTTACAACAATCCTCGGTAAATCACAACATATTCAAGAATTTTTACGGCTGAAAAGATGGACCGTAGAAGCAAACCCCACTAAAGCGGGAGTTGTTGCGGTCCATTGCTCACCTCAGGGTGACGACAAAGTGATTCCCATGCCATCCAGAACGTCATTAAACTATGGATTAATATCATGAAAAATTCCAAACTGATACATCTGTGACAATTTTATCTTAAATTAATTTTTTTACCATAAAAAATCCCAAACTGATACATCTGTGACAATTTTACCCCAAACTAATTTTTTGACCACAAAAAGCCCCAAACTGGTACATTTGTAACAAATTTACCCTCCGTTAGTTTCAGTTAAATTGGATTAATGCAAAAAAAATCACAAACTTGTACGCCTGTGACAAATGGAGGGTAAAACCTACAACTGATATATCTGTCAATTGCCGCGTGTCATTTAACAAAGCAATTTAATAGTAAAATTTAACGGGAACTAATGGAGGGTAAATTTATCATAGGTGTACCAGTTTGGAGTTTTTTGTGGTCAAAAAATTAGTTTTGGGTAAAATTGTCACAGGTGTACCAGTTTGGGATTTTTCGTGATATTAATCCATAAACTATAACTCGAGCCAACTTGTCCCTATTGCACGAGGTGCAACACGAGTTGACCATTGGACCTCACATTGTGTTTCGTGAAGATGATTTGTTTGGAAAAATTATCCAAAAAATCATAACCTTTTTCGCGTTTTATCAATTGAGTCCATCCAGCTAATTTTGGTTGAAAACCACTGATGTGGACGTCAGCCGTCCTACGTGGCCACGTCAATGCCAGTCATGCAATGTATGACGGCAAGATAGCCGGCGTCCACATTAGCGATTTCCGGCCAAAATTGGCTGGATGAACTCAATTGGCAAAACGTGAAAAGGTTTAGAATTCAATTTACACAATTAAAAGTTTTAAGATAGAATTGGTAAAAATTTAATAGGTTTAAGACTTTTTAGATAACTTTTCCATAATTTTTGTGGAAGGGGAGGGTTAAGCTGCTGCTTGTAAGGCGCCACCACTCTCGACTCTCAATCCAATATGAGATGCATCCCTTTTTAAGAGGATTCTCAAGAGCAAACCAACTTAAATTTACTCTTGGATTGGGCGGTCTGTTGCCTTAGGTGTGAGCTGATGCAGCTGTTTCTGTCACGGCCTTCGTCGTCAACAAATTTCCGAAAACTAGAGCACTAACAAGGGCTCGATTCACATCTAGAGGTGTGCAAGTGGACCGCATTTACCCAGGAACCGAACCGGACCACCCGAAAAATAAGTCCGGCAACCGATTCCTGTTTGAACTAGTCCGGGTACATGTTCTATTTTTTGGGAACCGATTGGAACTGGTTTGGTTCTCGGTTCCAAGTGAAGACCCACCCGGATCGGTCTTGGAATCGGTTTTTAGTTTGTGTTAAAAAAAAAACCGTAGATCATACTATTACTATATTTTGAATTGTTGCTTTTGGTGGATAGTAATTTTTATCGCTCATCTTAGGGATTGTTGCTTTTTGCGAATAGTGATTTTTATTATTCATATTATATTATAAATCGTTTCTTTGCTACTCATATTATTTTGCTGGAAAAAATGAAACCATTAAAATGAACAAAAGAAAAATAGGTTCTCGGGTAGACCCTGAAACCATATTGAAAAAACAGAGTAGGTTCCAAAACAGGTTCCAAGACAAATAAGGTAAGTTTCAGATTTCAAAAATTGAGAACCGATTATAACATGATTGATTTTAGATTCCAGATCTAAAACCTATCCATTTTGAAACCAATCATCCCTGTTCACATCAATGTAGCCGACATCTCCAAGTATTGTCCATTTTCATATTGTCAAAATCATCAGAACTTTCAAGACGAAAGACTGACGTCGTCAGGGGCTTTTGCCTCCTAACTATGTTGGACCATTTCGCCACGAGGTGGGGCACGATGCAGGCACAGTCCATATTGGACAGATGCAGAAATAAGTTCATGGAGCCTTGGTTTGGACACGGGACACTTCTCGGGGCGGGCCAGAAATTACTTAGAAATTAAAAGCGAAGAAACCGAAGATTTGATCGAACTTCTCACACGTGACTTACCGGTTTTTGTTGGAGAAACTACTTTAATATTAGAGCAAAGGTCACCAAAAACCCTAAACTGTACATACGGCGATACATTTACCATTTTTTTCTGACACCAAAAATCCTAACATGCATGACACATTCACCTTCTATCAAAGTTCTATCGGTGAGAACCGTTAAAAATCTAAAAAGCAAATAGTGTTGACATAAAAATGACGTTATTTTGGCTGGAAAATCATATAACGGAATATTGATGAAGGATAAATGTATCACGTAGGTGCAAGTTTGGGGTTTTTTATGTCACAAAAAAAGTGAAGGTAAATGTGTCACAATGGGTATAATTTAGGGTTTTTGATGTCATAAAAAACTTCATATTTCGAGTTTTTTTGCAGCTTTTTTCCTTAATATTAGGAATGGAAAGAGTTGAGTAATCTTGAAGGATATCATTCATTTGTGTCTTTAAAGAATTTTTTAGGTAATTAGCACAGAAAAAGTTGACAATTCGACAAAATATTCTAGATAAACGAATGCTACCACTAAAGTCATAAATCATCTTGGTACCGTTTGAGGTGACCCCTACTTTTTCATCTTTTTGACTTCTTGTGAATTTCGCGGCACTCCCATTTTGACTTTTTCAGTACTAAAATGTACTCGAAACCCTCTCCCAAACGAGAAAATTCAAATATGGAGACGTGAAATGATATTTTATTTAAGATGGTTTTCTGAAATTTAATGTACTTTTTTTTCGGTCTTAAGAAATTTGAGTTCATAAAATAGGAGATAAAAAGTGAACGAGCTCTAGTTAAAAAAAAGGGAAAAGAAGATAAAAGAAACACAAGAAGGGAGTAGGTGGGAGTAGGCAATTTATGGTCTTTTGATGGCCTACATAGATCGGGCTCGCGGCGGGTGCACCTAACATCCTCTCCCTCTAGCTAGTTAATGCCGAGACGGACTTATAGCATAACCTAATGTCCTTTATATATAATAGCTGACCATAAGCAATTGTAAGCTTCATCGCTCCTACGAAAGCCTCGGCGGCCCGTCCCTATCCTGTGGAGCGGATCCTACGAATACGTTTTTTATTTTTACATACCAATACCCGCATGCCTCGCATCCCTAATTCTCCACATATCTTTTTCTTCCCTAGGGGAGGGGGAATATCCTCTAGAAATTTTTACATTTCGATGATCTCAAGGTCCACACGTGGACCGAGATGGAGTCTTTTAAGGACTCGCTCAGATCCACTGCCTCTAATTAATGCCGAGCCGGATTTATAGCATGACCTAACTCCCTTTCTAAACAATAGCTGACCATAAGCAAATTTAAGCTTTACCTTGATTTCTGACTTGGCAAAGCAGGTTTCCAAAGGAAGAGATCTCAAATCCCATTGATCTCGGATAGACTTTTTTAATCGGTTGATTGAATGAGTTTTAGATTTAGAAACCGTCTGCTTCGCGAAAAATTAATGATCTGAAAAATATTTTCCAAAAAAATAATCGTGTATATCACTTAAAATAATTAGCCAACGAAAAATGTATTCATTATCGAAAACAATTCATGTCTAAACATTATCATAGACGATGAAAACTTTTTTCAATCATTGATATAAGCAATCATTTTTAGGAAAATATTTTTCAAATTATTTATTTTCTGCGAAACAGACGCGCCCTTAAGATAGCTTAGCCCCTTCATTGACCATTGGGCTCATGCATGCAGCAATAAGCTCCAAGCCAATTGAGTTAAAACGTTTTCCGTTTGTTTAGTAGCTTGAACTATTAATTGGGAAAACTAATCCAGCGGTTCAATCGGTCGAACCGGTGCGAACAGGACGGTCGAACCGGGTCTGGGTTTTAAAAAAACCGCTCGACATTAGCGATGATTAACTGAAAATCACTAAACACGTTACTCCATACATCATGCAGCAGTGTCTATCCAGCGTGAACCATGCGAAAGTGATGCTGCGGAGTTTGCCCCTGACTCCACGACGACGGGCGTCCTCGGCCACGTGAGGAGTGCTGTTGCCACGCGACGATACCCGACGCCTCTAAAGCTAAACCCTTACCCGTCCCCGTCCACAACAACACAAGCGAGATGTCGATTGTTCATACATCGGTTTGATTGATGTATTAAAGATATTATCTAATATAAAGCCCGTTTGTCTAGCGAAAAATGTGACGGTTTTAATAAATATTTTCTAGAAAGTCGTTTTTCAGGAAAATAATAATATTTTCCGGTATTTGGATGAAACGTGAAAATGAACTATAAATTATTTTCCGCCATTTGGTATCTTATTTGATTTTCCTTGGGAAAATTACCAAAATATTCGATTTTTTTCTATTTTTCCCTTTTCTTTCTTTTTTTCTTCTTTTTCTTTCTTCCTCGGTCGATCGCCGATCGCCGACCTTGGGCGAGCTTGACCTCCCAGGATCGGGTGAGGTGGAGCCTCGCCCGAGGGCCTAGGGAGAGCTTGTCGAGCAAGAAGCAAGAAGAAAAGGAAAGAAAAGAAAAAATTAAAATTTGATTTTTTAAGAAAATAATTTTATTAGAACAAACGTTTCATTAACTAAAGATCCGAGCTTAAGCGCCAAGGACCCGAGCACGGCTTTCGTCGACCCAGGCTTGAGTGCCAAGGACCAAAGCTCGAGCATCGGAGACGTGAGCACGGCCTTTATGCACTCAGGCTCAGGTGCTAGGTCATCGGACACGAGCACCAGGGCTTCGAGCTCGGCCTAGATAGGCCCGGACGTGGGCACTAGGGCCTAAGCCCAGCCTCGATGGACCCGGGCCCAGGCGCCGGAGACCTAGTTCTGAACATGGGGGATTCGGGAACCAACGTTGAGGTTCTCATGTCCAAGTATAGAGTTTCGGATCCAAACTCTGATATCTAATCATATTTTGGAAAATACTTTCCGACTTTTCCAAAGAGGAAATCATTTTCTTGGATTTAAGCATGGATTTTCCGTTGATCAGGAAAACATTTTCCGTTGAGTCATTTTCGTAAGCGAACCAAGCGTCAAAAAATGAGAAAAATGTTTTCCCGAAAAATGTTTTGCGCGAAACAAACGGAGCCTAAAAGTACAATTCACTTCTCTTTCAAATTCTAAAGACACGGGCGTAGAGATTCGGCTATTTGAAAATTCATGAGAGGCTCTGCAAATCTAACTAACGGGTTAGATCCTCTAGAACGGGTTTTCACGCAGCGGACGGGGTTCGAACGAATGACTTCCGGTTTCCGAACCCATGTGATTGTCTGGATCGGCCTCATCGATCATCCGTACACTCTACCTCATCGACAGGTTTGACAGCAACTTCACCGACCCACCAATAAATGTGAAAAATGTGGGAAACTGCGCGACAGTATATTTACTTGCACGACAGCGCTCTGGGCCCCCACCGTTTTGGCACATCGTGGGCTGCAGCGGGACCATCCCCCGAACCGAATTATTGACCTAACGTGTTTCGCAACAAGAGATAATAGTATTGGAAAGCGATCGAATGACCTTTCATCGCCCGACCTCGTTTCACGTTAACCAAGTTTCATACAAATAGTACGTGCAGCAAGTGCATATACAGTATATATAAGAGCGTGCTCATACGTTGCTGAACTCGCTCTCATAAGCCAACCACTACTGGTACTTCATCGTCTTTCTCTCTCTGTCTCTCTCTCTCTGCTCTTTCTTCATGGAGCAAGCTTTGCTCGGCTCCAACGGCCGGGCGGCGACGACCCTCTTCAATGTCAACCCCAAGTCGAACCCCCGCCGCCCATCTTCGGTCCGAATGCCCGTCGCGACGGCCGTGGCCAAGCCCTGTACCCGACCGTCGGGTCGGTGGGAGGCCATCCACGCCGAGATCGAGGCCCACCTCAAGAAGGCCATCCCCGTGAAGCCCCCGCCCGTGGTGTCCGAGCCGATGCACCACCTGACCTTCGCGGCCCCGCAGAGCACGGCCCCGGCCCTCTGCGTCGCGGCCTGCGAGCTCGTCGGCGGCGGGCGGGACCAGGCGATGCCCGCGGCCGCCGCGCTCCACATCATCCGCGCGGCCGCCGTCGCCCACGAGAACCTCCCCCTGACGGACCGGCCCGAGATCAGGCCCCCCGTGGCCCACGCCTTCGGCCCCCACGTCGAGCTCATGACGGGGGACGGCATGGTCCCCTTCGGCTTCGAGCTGCTCGCGGGGTCCGACGACCCGGCCCGGGGCAACTCGGAGCGGGTCCTCCGGGCCATCGTGGAGATCACGCGCGCGGCGGGGTCGCAAGGGACGGTGTACGGGCAATACCACGAGGTCGAGTACCTGCTGTCGCGGCGCCGGGATCGCCGGGACCCCGAGTGGGCCGACCACGTGTGGGCGAAGAAGGAAGGGGAGCTGCACGCGTGCGCGGCGGCGTGCGGGGCGATACTGGGGGGCGGCACGGAGGAGGAGATCGAGGGGCTGAGGAGGTACGGATTCTATGTAGGGATGATAAGGGGGATGGTGGTGCACGGCGGCGGAAGGAGGGAGGACGGAGCGATGAAGACGGTGGAAGATATGAAGAAATTGGCGCTCAAGGCGTTGCACGGTTTCGATGAAGGGAAGGTAGAGGCAGTCGCTAGCATTCTTGATGCCAACATGTGCTAAATCTTTCCTAAGGTTTATGAAAAAATGTAATGTAACGTTTTACTTTATTTGGTCGGAATAGAATGTAACGGTTTTTTCTTTTTGGGTAAAAAAAAGGTGCCATTTTTTTTCCCTCAAAAAGTACCGAGGCTACTCGATGGATCGTCATATGACATTTTTTTACTTAATTAAATTATTTTTTGTAATAAAAAAGAATAGCCTTGTGTGGGTTGATTAAAAAAAGAATGGCCTCATCATCAATTGGCTTTATGGAGTCAAAACAAGCTCCAACCTTCACAAATTATATTAACGTGAGAGAATGCGAAGATTGAATCAGATGAAAAATAATTGCCCCACATTGTTTACCTTGAGGATTTTCCAAAGCTTGCATCTTCTATAAATGAAAGGTTTATAAGGAGAAGAGATTGTTTTTAGGGTTTTACTATTATCATTTCATCTTTCAATAGCAAAAAATTCCAAAAAATAAAAAATTGAAAAAATATTTTTTTTTCTTAAAGTGTACACGATGGAATTCGCAAGGGGAAATTGTTCAAAAGTTTCTAAATCTATTGCACTTTGGTCAACTCAATCATAAATCTTTGACAATTTGCCAATTGAGTTCATCTACGGAATTTTGGCTAAAATCGATGATGTGGACACTTATCATTCTACCTGTCGTTTTACGTGACACTGTCGGCGCTAACATAGATAATTTTTTAAATTTTTTTGAATTTATTTTCTTTCTTTTTATTTTCCTTTTTTACTTTGCCTTTTTTTCTGTGTCGGCGAGGGTGCTGGCTGCGCGCGAGGTGGCCGTTGCCTAGATCTTGCGAGGGCCTTCATGCCCTCACCCGTGGTCGGCGAGGTCGTGAAAGCCTCGCACAAGGCCATTGTGGCCACACTACTAGGCGGGGGCGCAAAGGCCCTCGCTAGATCTAGGCAAGGGCCGCCTCGCCTGCGGCCGGTGGGGCCACGAAGGCCTCGCCTAAGCCATTGCAGCCGAGTCACCAGTGACTTAGCCAGCACAAAAAAAAAAAGGCAAAGAAAGAAGGAAAAGAAAATAAAAAGTTCAAAAAAATTACAAAAATTGTCTCCATCAGCGTTGGTAGTGCCACGTGGAATGACTGGCATCCCCATTAGCAATTTTCGGCCAAAAGTGACTAGATGGACTCAATTGGCAAATTGTCAAGAGATTTAAGACTTAATTGGTAAAATTAAAAGATTTACGACTGAATTGGTTAAAGTGCAATAGGTTTATAACTTTTTGGATATTTTTTCCAATTCGTAGGACGGGGCTAATTCCCGCCTTACCCCGCCTAATACATTACAGGCCATTTTTTACGAGAAAAATTTGCCTCGTGCGTGGCACTATACAAGTATATAAATATTCATCTGCCTTTCAGCATGAATCATGTGAGCACCTGCTTCTTTTGTGGGCCCGACTAATAATCCGATCAAAGCAGTTATCGGACAAGAAGCCCATACACTTTGCGGAAGGACTGAAGAAAGGCCCAAAGATTCGCCACTACAATTTTTTGGGCCCATCCTCCATGATGTACCATATTATAACGTGGACCCAGAAAATAAAACAAAATAAGAAATATTTCTCCCAGTTAAAACAAAACTACGATGTAATCAGGCGAAAGAAATGCTCTGTACGTTTTTTTAATTAGAAAAAAACGGTGAGAAATACAACTCTGTGTGTTCCATCATCAAAATATTCTATGCTCTGAAATATCAGAATTAGAATAATGATTAATCACTGACCACTTTGGCCATCATCAGTGGAATGAAACTTTTTGCCTTTTTTATCTCGATAAAAGCCCGCGTAAACTCATCGTCCCAGCTGCCCAAGGAATTGACATGTTTGGCTTTCAACATCGATCGATCGTGGGGGCCTTCTGATCTGTCTCTCTTCTTGTCATCTTGTTCCACATTAAAAAAAGGTAAAGAAATCATGTCGGAGAACATTGCAATTTAGTGGGCGGCTCGGTCTATACCAGTCAACCTTCGACTGCTTGTCTCTTAACTTTAATTAAGTTTGTTTCGCCCCCAGATTGGATCGGCCTCTTAGATGACATGATTTACAGCCTGTGGATTACAACAGCCGTGCTAGATACATAACATGTGCGCGAGTTGGGTTGAAAAATTACAATACATGTCATGAACTCAACTCAAGAATTTTCTTTGGAGTATTGGCGATTATGTTGAGAAGGCATTTTGGCAAGGAATTACCAAAAAAATTATAAGCTTATTGCACTTGTGCCAATTGAGTTATAAACCTTTTAATTTGATCAATTTAGTTATAAATATTTCGATGATTTCCCTCCACCGGCCTTGGATTAGAATTGAATTGATACAAATATAATAAGTTTAGAACAGTATTTGTATAGCGAGTGTTAGAGCAAGTCAATCAAATGTAAGAGATTTCAATATTCATAGGCAAAATTGGTTGGAATGCATACCATGTCAGTCATATTACCAATGCAATGCATAACATACTTTCTCCTATCTACACACAAAAAAAAAAGATAGATTGCATTTTTTATATCTATTTTGGCCATATATTGGTCATATTATTCTTCAGTGTAATTACTTGACTCAACTATACTACTACAGACGATAATAATATTGGCGCGTGGTGAAGTTAAAAAAGAATAATATCAGAAATATTTAGAAAACCACCTTCATATTAGGGACTCACCATCAAACCGGTGGTTAGGCTTAAAGCTATCTCGCTTTGTCGTATGCGTTCGTCAACTTTTGGTGCTTCATTCGATGTTGATTGATGTGAGGAGCATCAAAACACTTTTGCACTATTTAAATTGCACGTTTTAGAGTGTAATCTCGATGCTTTTCTGGGTCAAAGTAAAGGAACAGTTGTAATTTCGACAGTGTAACAAAGTGAAAAGTGCAACTTCGATGCGACTTTGCTCTTTGATAGAAAGACGCTTTTCGATTTCTCTTTCTCTTTCTCCTTGGAAATATTTCCTTTTCACACATCGGCTGTCATCAAATTTGTTGTCCAACCACACTTTAAACCATGGCCGTCCAAACCGTGATTAAATATAAGCGATGAAGCATGTGAATTCATTGTTTAAGGCAGAAAGAGTGTGTGGAGAAGTTGAAAAGAAAAAATGACCCCCAAACATCGCATTGTCGTTAGTGACCCAGTGTGGTGTAATCGGCATTGAGTAATATCAATGCATCGCTTAAAATAACCGTCTCTCACTTTGTCTATAATTTTGAGCACGAACGCCACCACTTTCGTGGATGATATGTATTTTATTGATTGTGGAGCAAAGCATGTGACGATTTTGTTGTCATTTTATGTCTAGTTTTTGTTCTGGTGCTAAACTCAAGCATATGAGGAGGAGAAAAGCATTGATGGTTCGTGAATTTGACTTGCTTGGCAGTTAGTTGGACAAGCTCATGTGACACTTGGGTACCCATGAAACAAAAATTGAGCATTTAAGTAATGCACGTATGCTTAGGAGTGAGCGGTTTCAGAATCAGTTTCAGATTTCAGGAACTTATCTTATCATGACCAATTCCCAATTTTTGAAATTGAAACCTACCATGTATATTTTGAAATCGAATATGCGGTTCTCGGGTCTACTCAAGAATCAAACAAAGACAAACCCGAATGGACTTGATTTGTGCATTTCATCGAACATGTGGTGAGCATTTCCTGAAGGTACTGACAAAAACCCAATTAAACAAAAGTCACATCTTTCCTTGCTCGCATTCAAATTCTAAATTGCAAACAAAAGACATTAAGTGAATTGCTAGACTCGCTGGAGTCACGACAATATTGTTTGCCTTCTTTGTCGCACTTGCGGATGGCTCTTCTTCACCTCCCTGGCCTGAGGATTCCAATTCCGCGATCAAACTCATCTCATCATATGCCTCCACTTCCACTGCCAACAAAAAGCAAAGGTGGCTCCAATGTCACTCCAACCAATCAACTCAGCATACATATTTCCACTTGCATGGAGGTTTAATGAAGTCAACATTGTTTATGTCGCTCTCAACACTCTCCCCACGCAGCCCACACGCAGCGGCACGCTCCCACACCCATGGAACACCTCTGGAGAGCACGCAAGATACACGTAGACTTGGTTTGTGCATTTCGTCGAACTTGTGGTGAGCAATTTCATGAAGGTGTTTATATTCAAAGCAAGTAATAGATTAACAAGCAGATCTTCAAACCTTTGTTCTTAATCAAAGTGAACCGAGAGACGATGAATTTCAGAATCGATCAATGGTTGAGAAACTTCTAGGATTCACGGATTGAGAGAGATTTTCCTTTTTCTCTAAGATGTGGGTGTTTTTGGTTGTGAAGTATCAATGCCCCTCTTAATCCCAGTGAGCCCAAACTTGTAGAGAGCAAAGTTAGATATAGAGAGAGGAGGCAGCAAGAGTAAAAAGAGAGAATTTAGGCCTGCTGGTTCTCGGATTCTCCAGTTCCCGGTCTAATTCTTCGGTTCTCGGTCCGGTTCTTCGGTTCGATTCCTACCCGGGAACCAAAAACCGGACGTAATCGGCAAGGAATTAGGAACCGAACTAATTTTTAGGGTCAATTCAATTCGGTTTTTAATTCTACCTGGGATTCATGCTCACTTCTACGTCTTATGAGCCACAATTTGTAAATCATGAAAGTTTCATGTGGAGCTCATCGACATTAAAGGTTGCAATATGCCGAGTTCAGAAAACTAAATAAAAGCCAAACTCGAAATATTGCGATGTAAAAAGCAAAAGCCAATAATCAAGTGGACGTACAATTATCGTTTCTTTTTGCCTAACTGATAAAAAGCCAATAATCAAGTGGACATACAATTATCGTTTCTTTTTGCCTAACTGATAAGAAACTCACGACCCATTCTCTTAATGAAAGGAATAAAACAATATATGCAGATCACACTAAAGTCCCCAGGCAGATTCCTGGAAGCCCTCACGTGGTTTGGCAGTCCAGCCGACGACATGGGGCCAGCCTCTACCATGATAAGTATTATAGGACAAAATACTGTCGTGAAGGCGACCCTTTCTATAGAATACTCCATCGACACTCGACAGGGTATACAGCAGAAAGTCCAAAACAGCTTTTTATCGCCATGATCTATGATACGATACTGCATCTTTGAAAAATCTGCATGGAATTGAACCCCATGAAGCTCCCCCAAAAGCCGGGATTTCAACAGGAGCGAGACCCAGAAACTTCATGGATCCTTCTACATGTGAAAAGCAAAGCTAGTTAGGTAGCCCTTTGCATTTTTATTTCTTTTTTTGAGTTGTGGGGGATTTGTGGAGGGGGAGTGATTACTTGACGAGTTGACACCGTAAAAGCTGCCTATCTCACCTCAAAAGCAGAAGGGGTAAGACGACAAAATGTGCAACTTGAGGGGAGGAAAGACCAATTAGAAGCTTGATGGCGGCTGGTGTGAGGTCTAGAAAGGAAATTGGAAGGAAACAGTAAAACCTTCCTGAGATGGGAGAAAGCTCGAGGAAACCTGCTTGCTAATGCGGGTTCTGTGTGAGATTACATCGATTGATTTGCTGATTAATAAAGTAGCGTCGCCAAACGATAGATATGTGCAAGGGGGGAATTGCCAAAAAAAAAAGAGTTTAAAAACATATTACTCTTATGCTAATTCAGTATTAAACGTTTCAATTTGGCCAATTTAATTATAAGATAATTTGCCAATTCAATCATTTTGGCTAATTTTGATCAGAAATTGCCGATGTTGATATAGACCGTGCCATATAGAACGGTCGACGCTGACGTGAAATTTTTTTTATGTATTTTTGTAAAAAAAATTGATTTTTTTAATAATTATTTTCTCTTTTTCTTTTATTTTTCCTTTTTCTTTCGTTCTTTTCCTTTTTTTTTTCTAAGCTTGGTGAGGGTTGTCGGGCAACCCTTGCCAACCACTGGACGAGAGCCATGACGCCCTTGCCCAGTGGCCGTCTGGGCAAGGGTCGGGACCCTTGCTCGCCGCTAGCGAGGGCTTCATGGCTCTTGCTCGGGTCCGGCGAGGGCTTTGAAGTCCTCGCCCCTTGCCGGCCCTTGCCTGGGGTAGGCTAGGGTCAGCCGACAACCCTTGCCGGACTTCATAGAAAAAAAAGAGGAAAAGAAAGAAAGAAAACTAAAAAAGTAAAGTAAAAATCATTAAAAAAATAGTAAAATTTTAAAAACTTTTAAAAAATTATTTACGTCAGTGTCGGTTGCCCTACGTAACATTGTAAGTGTCCACGTCCGCGATTTCTGATCAAAATTGACCGAAATAACTAAATTGACAGTCAAAAGGTTTATAACTATATTGGTCAAATTGAAAGGTTTATGACTAAATTACATAAATGCTTACTTTTTTGGTAATTTTTCCCTACGTGCGAGTGTACTGAGTAAGCAGCGTTCATGTACTTTTGAGACTTAATCAACCATTTAAATGATCCATAAATGCAATAAAAATTGAATTAGGGTAAACACGTGCATTACGGAGACTCGTTCTACATAGGATGTGATTATAAACCAACTCAATTGCTATCAACAATTTCCATGATTATACATAACATGGCTTATACCGTCCAGATGAACAAATTGAAGGAGCATAAATAGACGAAAAGTCAATGTGGTCCGGAAAAAGCAGTGTTGCAACTGGGAAGAACAAAGAAAGAGAATCCAGTCTTCAAATGCACATGCCCGATAAAGATCAGTGCCCCCTCGTTAGTACCGCAATTAGCTGTCCTTTTGACCGAAGATTGACGAACGTGCGCGCGCACGTAAGTGATGCCATTAAATTAGGTTGGCGAGAGCCACAGGAGTCGTTGTTCTGCCACGGAAAACATGGGGGGGATGGAGAGGAATTTCATCCCAGCGACGACACACTCAGCTCCCGAATAGCCAAACTAGGCACGGCATTGTCCTAGGCGGCCAGCAACGTGACGGATGTTGTCTCTTACCAAATTGTACCCTAAAGCTGTTTTGTATCTATGTTAGGCAACGTTCGATTGGTTTTGAACACAACTAGAACCATGAGTGCATAAACCGTGCTCGGATCAGTGGCTCCACGATGAACAAACACTTGGTGCCGTGCATCATTTGAGCACCGGCTTGTGCCAAGGACAGGACGCGACATTGCACACGTGCAAACAATGAATCAAACTACGTCTCACATAACAACTGCTCAAAAAAATTAATGACCTGTGACGTACATGCTCTTGATTTTCTTTGTAAGTTCGAAACTCTTGAAACCAAAAAAAAAAGGGTGCATTTGATTTCAATTTACCAATTGATTGTGCTAATGGGTATGGTCAACTTTTACCGGACAGCGCAAAAAGACAGTAAAGCGACATTTAGTTCGTTTTGGGAACTCAAATGGCCGTGAAAGTCGAACAGAAGTACGAATTTTGCACCGAGACAACCGAGCTGAAAGGGGGTTTTACGAAAACCCAGCACAGACCATTAAAGAAGAGAGTATTCACATCTTTTTTCTTTCCCAACAAAGCCAAGTTGACATCTCTCTCATGACAAAGATGAGGCTACAGACCCAATCACAAACCCTGTACAGAAGACTACGACATCGTACCTATACACATTCGACACGCACGGCCACGATCAATGTCTCGAGCCCGCGATTCATCATGGCGACTCGAGAAAGCCGGTTCTCGTCAAAACAGCGTTCCTCACCTTGCTGAGGTCCCTCCCTTTGAGGGTCCTCCCCGCCCCTTCGAACACCGAGAAGGACGAAATGTGACTCCTGGCCAGCCTCACTGCAATGAGCTCGTGCGGGGGCATCTTGCAATAGCTCTCGTCCTCGTCTTCCTCCTCGCTCTCGCCGCCTCTCTCGCTGTCGACCGCGTCGCCGTCGCTCGAGTCGCCTCCGTCTTCCTCGTCCCAATCCCTCGTGCTCTTTGAATTCGAAGAAGTTTTCTTCGACTTTTGCCTCTGCAAGTTTGACCAGTATGGAATGTTGACCGGTGCTGACTGCTGCACAGGTCTGGCTGCTGCCTCGGGGGTTGAGCTGCTGCTGCCGCCGCCGCCGCCGCCACTTGGCCTCGAGATCGTTTTCGGGGCAGTGGGTGGGTGTTTCCTTGAGAACGAGCTTCTGGGTCGTTCACCTGAAGCCCAAATTTTGGAATTATTAGAGTCTTGCTTGCCGTTGAGGACCTCCCAAACCTCTTCTTCTTCGAAGTCGCCGTCCCGCAGTGACCTCCACAGTCCACTGCCTTGGTAGTAGTAGCCATACCTGTCCTCCATCTATAGATCGAAGCAGAGCCTTTGAGCGACACTGACATATGGTTTTTGAGGGGTCGACACTTTTGACAATCTATTCAAAGAAGGAGATGCAGATTTTCGTATTGCTCATGTAAAATTGGAATTGATTTTGACCAGAGATGAAAAGCAAGAATCCACCTTCTTTTCTACAGATTGAGAAGCTCCAAGAAACCCCAACCCCTCTCTCTAGTTCTCTCAGCTAGGAGGTATCTGCAAGACTGCAACCCAAGAGAGAAGATTGAATAAGAAAAACGAGAGTCAAAGCTCAAAGGCATCTCTCTTTTGTCATTTGTTTTTTGTCAAGAATCTAAAGAGAAGAAGAATCTGAGCCTTTCTTCAATTGAAATCACCTGACAAATCCCTGAATTGGAGTACCAGAGGATGGTATGCTGCTCTCTGTGGAAGACCCCAGAGACATTTAAATGGCAGAGAATGGGAAAGACGCAAGGAACGACGCTCTTTGAGTCTCGTCCTTATATACCTGCTGAACATGGAGGATCTTCGATGTGGGTGTATATATATATATATATTACCCCATGACAGCCGGACTTTTTGAGCCTGGGAAGCTGGGAGGAAATGCGGGCGCCGTCTTAGGATAAAGATGTGCCTTATCTTCTTTTTAAACGAATAGGGTTTAGCAAAGCAAGAAAATAAAACAAAACATGAATAAAAAGATGAAGAAGCTTCTCATCAGGGCGTGTTTATCTGCTTTCTTTTACTGTTCTTGTTTGGGAGCAAGACGAAATCTTCTCTTAAGATCATAACAGATTTTTAAACAAGTATCAAATGGGATCATCTTATTATCCTTCCTTTTCTGTTGGCATTCATTACAGTACTTCAATCTCATAGAAATTTTTGTTGGGGGGCCGGGTAATGTTATTGACCTAATCGCTAGCAAATTGTTACAAAATCTGATCCAAAAGTTTAAATTTGTGGATATAGAGAGACACACAACGACAATGGAGAGCGACAGAAGCTAAATATATGGCATAGAACTTGATTCGATACCACGCTTGAAAGTCTAATCCAAAAAAAGGAGGCAGATCATGAATATAAATAGCATATGAACTCCGTAGGAAGTATAATTTACCACAAATTATCAATATTTTAAAATACAGGTAGGATGAGATTTCTTTCTTCCTTTTTTTCAAGTAGAATCTGGTAAAGGGCTTATCATTTGAGTCGATATTTTTCTCTACACGACATAGGAATTTGTCAAAGTAGATAAAGAAAAGGAAAAATCTCATGTTCATCCGAATTCGTGATGGGAGGTGCATGCATCATCATATCATTTTTCTTTTCGTGTCGGGTTAAATTAATGCAGCTTTTGCTTCCAGACACCATAACCCAAGAAACCAATTCCATGGTCAAGCGCATCTTATTCTAACGTAACGTATCTCACATACATTCAAACGACAGCATCTTTGATTTCCGGAGACCGAAACTCTATCCAAAAACCCGTGTAGACGGACCGTTTAATTCGCGAATATTCACGGGAATTTATTAAAATTGGTTCAGATATTCCGTATTATCGACGAAAAGAATAATGGAAATGGAGTTGAGCATTAGGTGGCCAGTTCATAATCTTTAATAATGGAGAGCATCAGTCATTATGAGCGTGATTACCTCATAAAGTAGGTGTCACAGTGCTTAGGTTTCTTAAAATATTGTATAAAGCACTTGCGGCAGTTCGTCTTAGCTATACATGATGTGGAAATGGAAAATTATCTTTACTTAGGCGCCGGAAAGTGCGAGGAAGCTAAGTACGGACCCCGTCAGCCCACAGACTTTCATTTCTTAATTTGATTAAAAGCTCAGGTTAAGCCTAATCTGTTAGAAGCAATGGGACGAAACCATGAGAGGCCGTTTGCGTAATTAGATTTTCTGTCCTGAAAAGCAAAAAACAGTTTTTACATGAAAACGCCGTTCGGACGATTACAATAAAATCGATTATTTCAAAAACAAAAACAAACGTAACCTTTTTTCTTTAAAGTAAAATAATCTTTTTCCTTTTCCTAACGAGAAGGGAGAATTCTAAAAGAAAGCATAAACTTTACTTTGAGTGACAATTTTGTCCCGAACTTTTTTTTGTCTCAATAAAAAGCATAAACTTTTACTCGAGTCCCTAATTTGGCCCTCGTTATGTGGAATTTTCAAATTATTCGAGCCAGATTTAGGATTCAAGTCAAAGCTTGTGATTTTTTATAAAACAAAAAGAAGTTCAAACTAGAATTATCGCTCAAGGTAAAGTTGGTGTTTTTTTTTAAATTAGGCCTAAGATTCTATCTATCTCTAGTAACTTTTACTATCTTCATAGAATGTATTTTCTTCTTTTCTTGTCGTAGTAATAGTGATCTCTTTCATACCATGTGAAAAGAGCTATTAGCGTGTTTAAAATAAAGAGTCACGGTATTGTTTTTGATAAAAATAATAGAGTAGTTTTGTCTTGAAATGTTATCAAGCAATAAACATGCTACTTTTGTTAATTATTACATAGTTGATATCTATTATTGACTATATAATTCATCAGCAGAATATATCATGCAGTATAAAATCGGCAAAACTTAAAAATATGTTCATGTAGACAGAACTCTCATAGCAAAAAGATTCGCATTTTTTTTTCCTCTGGTAAGCAAGAGGTGCACATTCACTCACGTTGAATGGTCAATACAGACACTTTCGAACTCTGCCATTTATTAAAAAAAACAAGCGGCGGGATTTCTTGTAGCAAATTAAGAGAGAGCACTAATGGTAGTGCTCTAAATTAACTCTGCATACTTTCGAGGTTCATAATAAGAGTAATTCCTCTCGAGCGTATTAGGATGAAATGGAAAAAGAAAAGAGATTATTAGCTAGTCTCTCTTAATTAAACACTAAAAAGAGAAGGAAATTTTGCATTTAATATATCGTTCTCTTATATTTTTTGTCTGAGACATATTTCCAAATCCGAAATTTTTTTTTATTAAGTATAATCAAACAGGGTTAACAAGTGTTTAGGTAGCATTTGTTAACAAAACGAACGAAGAAACTCGATTGAAGATATCATTGAATAGGAGCCCGAGGACAAAGGGAAACATAAATTACTTCCGAAGCGTGACGCACGTGCGAATATTTGGAAGAGCCGACATTCAACGCACTTAGCTTTACTTGAATTTCCGAAGGGTACAACACAAAGGGGACAACCTACGTTCCGAGGCCAGCAAGGTTTCGTGGCGGATCCAACCAAACTCCTTTTATTGCTCCAGAAGAAAGCTGAAATCTGGGACGAATCAGGAGACAAATCTGCCATCCAGCGCAAAGAGTATCACAAGAAATTCTTTCATTTGATTGACGAGACAAGGTGGATTCATTTCTCTTGGACGGACTCTTCAACTTGCGGATGCATCCTGTGGCGGCCGCGCATTTAGGCACGTGCGTACCTTTGGCCCTCTTCGGCCGACGCTCCAGCGACTGCGCGACCATAGATAATAATGTTTAATCTCGCATTGCTCACTTGTCTGCTTATAATATGCATATCTCTTATCGTAATTCACAAAAGCTTAACACATTCGTTTTCGTTTTTCGGGGGTGAAGAGTTAGGAGATGAAATGTGAGATTAATGGCGGTTAGTAAAAGCGCGAGATTAGATCCGACCGTACTCCAAACGGAACCCCGCTCAATTCGCGTACAACTAAAAAGTGATGGGCGAACTTGCATAACGAGGTCGAGCCCATCCCGACCTAAATTTGTATCCGAGTAACTCGTATACCCTCTCGCACAATTCCGTTAGAAATCGCCGTTAAAAATCTGACGTGACAGTAGTAATGCTTTTTAGATATAAGTGGCGCTGCTGTGGCATAGAAAAAGATTTAAAAAAGGAAGGAAAGAGAGATTGCAGATGGTGGCGCCACTGCTATTTTGGTTTCGCCGGCGAGGGCCATCGACCCCTACAGGCCATCGACGAGATCAAGACCTTAGATATGACGAATCGCGGTTGGCCTCCACATGACCTCAGATGTGGAGTTTGCTCCTTAGATTGTGAAGTTATTGTTCATCGTCTTCAAAGTTTATGTTCATCATTTACAAGCTCATGAGCACTTGGCCAAAGCTCCTTTGATGCTTGTCCATCGCTGCCCACTTGCTACTTGGACCTTTAACGGCGTTTATCAACCCTTGCTTCACTGCTCGCGAGGTGGCCATCGCTTGCTCTCAGATTTGAGATTTCAATTTTGCGCAAGTGAATTAGGAGGGGTGAGTGTCTTGGAGATGATAATCTCGCTGCGACGAGTTTCAAAGCCAGGTTTGGCCATGGTGCTAGCTTCGGGGTCGATCTGGCTTCAAAGCTCGCGGCCACCATAGCCGCTAGATCTCAAAGGGTCTGCAACATGGAGGGAGGCTTGAGAGTTGAGGAGAGTCTAGAGCAATTGGAGGTGGTGGGGTTGAAAAAATTGGTGTTGAAGATAATCTCTAAGCTAAGCCCATGCTTGGATTATTGCTTGAGCAAATGACGAAGAAGGAACGTTTCTGTTGTTGTTGATGCTGCTACTTTGGACCACATCTGGGCAAGCTAGGCCGTGCCACTCGAGTTCGACGCCATCTGGGCCGAGCTCCGCTCGCTAGTGAGGGTCGATGGTCCTCATCGCCGAAGTCGGAAGAACGGCAAAGGCCCCCGACCATCAGCAATCTCTCTTTAGTTTGATTTTTTTTTTTTTTGGCCATTTTTAGTTTTTATCTTTTATAATCTTTATTAGATGTGGCGCCTACGTGAGACCACGTCAACACCACTTGTACTTGAAAAATATTAATAATGCCACGTCATATTTTTAACGAAAGTTCTTAATGGAACTGTGATTGAGAGTAAATGTGTTACTCGGGTACAAGTTCGAGATTTATGGTATCACGAAAAAAAGTTTGGGGTAAATATGTCAAGTGGACATAATTTGAGATTTTTTGTGGTATTTTTCCTAAATAACCCAACTAAGACAGAAGTTAGTCATCTATCTTTGAGTCTTATCATGCTCAAGTCATGCCACGGTCAAATTCGTAGATGAGAGCTAAAGAACAAGTCATCATGGGCTAAATTCTTGAACAGGTCAACCAAATTCATGCGGAGGAAGAAATTGTGAAGTGGGCTGAAAATTCGAGCCCATTGACTATTTTAGGCCTGCCTAGCTTATCCATGGCCAGAAGTATATCATTGCTGGAGGGCCGAGCTAATCTTCTCGACTCTTCGTCTAACTTAGGACCACGACCAGCAATCCAATCGGTTTTAAGTTCAGTATTAAAATTTTCAATTTTACCGAGATAATCTTGAACATTTGCTCGAAATTCTAATATAATCCTCCGGTCAATTACCACCAAAAATTGCTAAGTGACATCTAGTTGTCGCCGGTCAACTTGCGCGACACACTTACATAGACTAGTTTGCGACACACTTACATAGGCTAGTTTACTCGTGCCACGCCAACAATTTCCAACGATAATTAGCCAAAATGATTACATTAAAATTCCGCGCAAAAATTAAGATTGCAATAACAAAAAAATTGAAAAGTTTTAAATTGAATAAGAATAAGATTATTTTGATACTTTGTGGTGTCTTGAAAGTAAAATCACCATTCCAATTCGAATCCGAGTACTTTTATTTTCCTTGGAAATTTAGCGGAACAATCACAACCGCAACTAAACAATCGCATTCTATCTTGTAAACTGAACCTCCAACTGCTGGTCTTCCTCCTTCATCTCCTCTTCCACAAACACTTAATCGACAGAATCGTCGCCACTGGGCCGAAGAAAGAAGGGCCAAACCGAAGCTCCATCGACTTAAACAATGAAGGAACACCAGAGATGCGTTAGCTTCATTCTCGATTGTACACGTGTTCTGGTCTCTTAACTCTCTACCGCAACCTAAACTAACCGTCGCGTCGTCGCGGCTCGAACCTACCGAGCATACTTATATAGAACGTAAGAACTGTATACGTAGAGAAACAGTTTGCCTAGATCTTATCCATGATGGATCGAATCAATCATAAACACTGATCTTTGGAGTCCCGCATTGGCCTCGCGACGTTCGAATCATCAGATCTAGGCGAGCATTTCGCAACATTTACGCCTCGGTGGTAGATGAACACGGGTCTCCGCAATTTAACCGTTGACGATGTCGATCCGGGCATTATATGGACTGCAGAGTTTTTATTATGATTTGATACACGTTATCAGGGTATCGAACCTAACCAAATCGACCAAAGCAAATCCAGAAAAAATATAAAAAACGGAAAAAAAAAAAAGGGACTTATTCACTGCGCTAGTCAATGAGCGACGAGAGCATCGTTGCCCGACGCATTCAAGAAGGGATCGCCGCCGCCGCCGCCGCTGCGGCCAACACTGGAGTCCAGGCTCTGTAAAAGCACGGATCTATGGGCGACGAGCCGTTTCCTCGCGAGGCAACGAGGGCCGCAGCCGCCGCCGCCGCCGAGGAGCAGCTGAGGCGCCGGATCGGCCCCGGGGATCTGGAGTTGGGCGGTTTGGTTTCGTGCGCGGGAAGGGTCGAACCGAGAGAGAGGGTCCGGCTTGTGAGATCGGGAGCTGATCCTGGAGTCCCGGAGCCGAGCCAGCGCCCCGGGTTTCAAGTACCGGTGGAACGGCGGCGGCGACGGCGGCGGCGTTCTGGAGGCCGAGGCTTTCATGCTCCTCCGTCCGCCCGTCTCTGCGCGCGCGCGTCTGAGAGAGAAGGGAGAGTAGTTAGAGAGAGAGAGAGAGAGAGGGAGAGAGAGAGAGATGGCGTGGGGTGTGGAATGATTTGTAGAGAGAGAAAGGGAGGGAAGAAGGAGGTTTTCGGGAGGCGGGAAAGCGAGGGAAAAGGAAAAAGAAAAATGAGGGGGAGAGCGCGGGACGTTGGGAGGGAGACCGAGAGGGGCTACTAGGGTTTTGCGAAACGGAACGAGCGAAACGAGCGGGAAATTGCATGGAATCTGACCACGTCAGTCCACGTCAGGCGCCTGGCCTGCTGCTGACGCGGTCCTGTCCGGGATTCCGGCACGTGGGTGGACCGGTGCCCCGTCACGTGACAATGAACGGTGAATCTGGCACGTTTTAAGCTAGAGTACAAAAAAAAAAAAGCTGTTATCTCTCCGGACGGGAGGGGAAGGAAACCTGTTAATTTGTGCTTTTGATTATGTCATCGACTCAGCATAGGGAGTGCTCTTACGTTTGTTAGTCTTACAAGCAAGTGTTCCGAGGGAGTACTGTGTTTTCCTATGCGTTATTTACGTATACAGTGAAGGCAGTCGGTGCGTTGAAAGTTATAATAGTACTCTATTAGTCATTTAACAAGTGTCCGATACAGATTTTAGCAAAATATTTGTTAATCGAAAATTGTTTTTTTTTTTTCCGATATAAGGAGCTTAAGCCTAAGACTCAAAAACGAATAGAAAAATGGTTTTTATGTGATTTTTCCATATCTATATAAGGATTTTATATGAATTTCCTTGAATATTGATCTCAAATATTATGTAACCCGATAAAAGAGAAAGAATTTTACACACACAAATACATACGTACATACATACATAATATATATAAATATATGCTTCTATATCACTCTAAAAATGAGTTTTGAAGTTTGGTCTTTTTCTTTATTTTTATAAAAATAACGCAAAATTGAAGGGTCAATATGTAAAATATGAATCTACTGCTGGAATGGCGGGGGGAAGTGGATCACTTTCCAAACTCCCCACCACGGCAGTTGCCGCCACTAACTTTTAGCTTTTCCTCCGCAGACCTCTTCTATGATTCGCCACAAAAATTATTTTCCGACTGCTTAGGCGAACGTACAATACAAGAAGTAGACTTACCCTTTTGAAAAAATTTAAATACAAAGAAACTAATGAAAATGCCGTCGAGTTATTAAATTTTACCGTGGCATGAGACTTAACATGACCATTGACAATGATGCTTTCGAGTTGCTGCATTTGGTTAGAGTAATATCGATGCCCAGTGCGCACTTTTAGAGAACGTTTTTGTGTTGGGAACTTTCTGGTTAATCTCTCATTTAGTAGTGGGATCATTCAACATACTTCTTCTCACTGTAGAAGCAAAGGAACCAGAGTATGGATAATCGGATCAGACTTGATCAATGGATACGAACTTAGTGTACGCTAACTCGACCCTAATGAACAATGAGAAGACCTCGTCCGCAACCACCCGGGCTTCCTTTGCTGCAGGAAAACATTGGGCCTCCGCATAAAATATGAATTGCCCTTTTATCTGACGCGAATCGCCATGTGGTCCAATCCAAGATTTTCCAGTTCTGCGATCCGGGTCTCCGCCTTCCTGAGAACTGCATCGTTGAATCGGCCACAAAGGCCCTGATCACCGGTCACGACGATGACGGCAACTTTCCTTACGGGCCTGGCATTTGTCAAACGAACATCTACATCCTCCACTTGAAGCTGTTCATTCTGTTACAAAAAAGGTGCAGAAGCTGGCCGTGCTTTGCAAGCACAAAGAAAAAACACAGAAAAGAGAGTCAGAGAGAAGAGAGTGTACACCCGTGAAAAAATGCTTACTGCATTCATTCGTTATAATTGAATAACAACTTAGCCTTTTAGATAGGCCATACACCAACAGAAAATCCCACAAAAGTAGCCACAACAATTGACCCACTATGCTGAACTATCTACCCACTATCCTGAACGTGTGTGCAGCAACAAACATGCTGCAACATATTGCTATAAACTAGGACAACCAACTAGGCTTTATTATAAAAAAAAAACAAACAAATACTTTGACTAATTCAACACCCTCCCTTAAACTGATGTTGCAAACAATCAGTTTAAAAGTACTAGAACCAGCCCTCCCTTAACCTGCAGCTTCCAACGAACAAACACCAAGAAGCTTTCTTAGCTTCTGATATGCAGATAATTTGAGAGGCTTGGTGAACAAATCAGCAAGTTGATCTTCACTCCTGCAAAAAACAAGATCAATCACTTTATCTTTCGTGAGATCCCTCAGGAAATGATACTTCACATCTATGTGTTTGCTCCTCCCATGTAGAACTGGATCCTTTGAGAGTTCAATGGCTGAGCTGTTGTCACAATAGATTGTAGTTGCATCTTCCTGTTTAAATTGAAGCTCTCCAAGAATCTTCCTTAACCAAATAGCTTGACAAGCGCTAGAGGTGGCAGCCACAAACTCAGCTTCAGTTGTTGACAGAATAACAATCGGCTGCTTCTTCGAACACCATGAGACAGCCCCCAAACCAAGCATAAATACATAACCAGAAGTGTTTTTTCGACCATCCATATCACCAGCGTAATCACTATTAGTGAAACCAATCAACTCTGATTTTCCTCCTTTCTTATAGAATAACCCAAAAGTTGCAGTCCCTCTCAAGAAGCGAAGAATTCGCTTTGCAGCTTGCAAATGTTTTTCAGTTGGATTCTCCATGTACCTGCTAATAAGGCTCACAGGAGGCATGATATCTGGCCTTGTAGCTGTTAAATACATTAAACTCCCCATGATTTGCTTGTCGAAGGTGCTATTTACCTTTCTTCCATCAGGATCCTTCGACAACTTCAATCCAACCTCAATTGGCGTGGTTACCGAATTGCAATGAGTCATCTTAAATTTTTCTAAACTCTCTTGAACATATTTCTTTTGAGATAGAAAAATTCCAGCTTCAGATTGATTTACCTCAATGCCCAGAAAATAATGCATCAACCCAAGATAAGTCATGTCAAATTCCTCCATCATAGACTTCTTAAATGTGTCAATCATGACACTATCATTTCCTGTGAAGATAAGATCATCCACGTACAAACACACTAGAAGCAATTTTCCACAATGACCAATCTTGATAAATACCGTATGCTCATAGGGACATTTTGTAAATCCATCCTTCAAAAAATAAGCATCAATCCTATTGTACCAAGCTCTTGGAGCTTGCTTCAACCCATATAAAGCCTTTTTCAATTTATAGACTTGATGTTCATTACCCGGCTTGACATATCCAGAAGGTTGATGAACAAATACCTGTTCTTGAAGATCACCGTGTAAGAATGCCGACTTCACATCTAATTGATAGATGAACCATGAATTATGTGCTGCTAGCGCAATCGCTCATCGGATTGTATCGAGTCTCGCAACTGGCGCAAACACCTCTTTGTAATCCACTCCAATTTCCTGCTTGTAACCTTTTGCCACCAAGCACACCTTGTACTTTTCAATCTCACCATTCTTGTTCATTTTCGTCTTGTATACCCACTTGACTCCAATTGTCTTTTGCCCTTCGGGAAGATCTGTCAATTCCCACGTACCATTCTTCTCAATTGCTTTGATCTCTGCATCCATTGCAACTCTCCAGTTTTTATTTTGTACTGCTTCATAAAAAATAGTTGGGTCACTATCTGCAAACAAAGCAAAATGGATCAGTGGGTCTTCGGTTTGCTCAACTCTCGACACTTCATAATCTTCCATCCATGCTGGCCTCCGTCGGATGCGTTGTGGTCGTTCTTCAGATGCTGCAGCAACTGCTGAATTTTCAACATTTTCTGTGGTGACTTGACTCGTAGAGGGCTGCTTTTCCAGCTCAGTATCATCTTCAAAGTTTGCTGGAATTTGTTCACCACAATCACCACCATTCTTCTCGCTCCATGACCAGAATTTCTCTTCATCAAAGATCACATCACGGCTAATGGTAATTTTCTTGGTTATAGGATCATAAAGTTTGTAGGCTTTTGAATGATCACTAATGCCAAGAAAAATACATTTTTCTGCTTTATCTTCTAGCTTCTTCCTCGTCTGGTCAGGAACATGGACATATGAAAGACACCCAAAAATTCTGAAGTAATCAACTGCGGGTCTTCTCCCGCTCCAAGCTTCTTCGGGTGTCTTATTTAAAACAGCGAGAGTGGGACTTCTATTCAAAAGATGAACACTCCAATTGACTGCCTCCGGCCAGAAGCTTTTTGGAACTCCACTTGACGTCAAGAGGCTTCGCACCATATTTAGAATAGTGCGGTTCTTCCTTTCGCAGACACCGTTCTGTTGCGGTGAATAAGCTGCAGTGAGTTGTCTTTTAATCCCATGCTCCACACAAAAATCTGCGAACGCAGTTGAAATATATTCGCCACCACGATCTGTGCGGAGAACTTTGATTGGATTTCCACTCTCTTTTTCAACAAGAGTTTTGAAGCTCTTGAAGGCTTCAAAGGCTTCATATTTTTCTTGCAAAAAGTAAGCCCAAACCTTCCGACTGAAATCGTTAATGAAGGTAATGATATATCGTTTACCTCCATTGGACATTGGGGAAATTGGTCCGCAAATATCTGAATGGACAAGTTTGAGGTGCTTCTTGGCTCTCCATGCTTTGCCTTTTGGAAAATGATCTCGGTGTTGTTTGCTAACAACACACTCTTCACATATTTCGGACTGCGCCATGATTGGGGGAAGTCCCTCCACCATCTTCTTATGATGTAACATCAGCAACCCACCAAAGTTGAGGTGTCCGTATCTGAAATGCCATAACCATGCTTTATCCTTCAATCTTGCAGAGAAACATGAGTGAGAGGTGCCATGAAGATGTAGCGGGAACATCCAATTGGCAGTCATATTAACTTGAGCAATCAGATGCTGTTTCTCATCATGGATTCTGCAAACATCTCCTTTAAGTGTAATTTCATATCCCTTCTCTTGCAATTGTCCAACACTTAGAAGGTCGGTCTTTAACTCAGGAACATAAAACACCTCTTTGATCATCTGAACCGAGGTTCCTTTAGGAACAATTGCAACTGTCCCTTTACCCTTGACTGACACAGTCGAGTCATCTCCAAATTTGACTGAGGTGCGAAACGACTCATCTAATGCAGAGAATGCCTTCTTGTCTCCACACATATGGTTGCTGCAACCGGTGTCAATATACCACAGGTTCGATGAAATTTTCTCCGTTTCTTGACACACCATTCACTACAAAAAAACTGGATTTTTGCCATGAAAATTTGCGACGAAAAAATTTTCGTTGCAAATTTGCGACAAATTTTCCAACGAAAAGTAAAATTCGTTGGAAATTTCCAACGAAAAATTTTTCGACGCAAATTTCGTTGGAAATTTCCAACGAAACAATTTTCGTCGCAAAATTCGTTGGAAATTTCCAACGAAAAAATTTTCGTCGCAAAATTCGTTGGAAATTTTCAACGAATTTTGCGACGAATTCAAAAAAACCCGTTATTTAACCCGTTATTGTTCGGCATTTTTTATATTTGTTGGAAAATTCGTTGGAAATTTCCAACGAATTTTCCAACGAATTTCAATTTTCCGGGCAATTATTTCAGTGCGTACAATTTTCGTTGGAAAATTCGTTGGAAATTTCCAACGAATTTTTTTTCGTTGGAAATTTCCAACGAATTACAAAAAAACCCGTTACTGTTCGGCATTTTTGATATTCGTTGGAAAATTCGTTGGAAATTTCCAACGAATTTTCCAACGAATTTCAATTTTCCGGACAATTATTTCAGTGTATACAATTTTCGTTGGAAAATTCGTTGGAAATTTCCAACGAATTTTTTTTCGTTGGAAATTTCCAACGAATTTTTTTTCGTTGGGAATTTCCAACGAATTTTCCAACGAATTACAAAAAAACCCGTTACTATTCGGCTTTTTTATATTCGTTGGAAAATTCGTTGGAAATTTCCAACGAATTTTCCAACGAATTTCAATTTTCCGGACAATTATTTCAGTGTATACAATTTTCGTTGGAAAATTCGTTGGAAATTTCCAACGAATTTTAATTTTCCGGGTAATTATTTTAATGTGTACAATTTTCGTTGCAAAATTCATGAGAAATTTCCCACGAATTTTGCAACGAAAACCCTACTTCTTCCTTATTCAATATTTTCGCGCTCGTTATTCCCACAACTTTCAATTTCCACGTTCTCTCTCTCTCTCTCTCCTTCGCCTTCACCTTCTCCCTGCGTCTCCCCCTCCGCCTCCCCCTCCGCCTCCTCCCCCGCCGCCCCCCCTCCTCCTCCGGCTCCGGCTCCGGCTCCGGCGCCATGGACACCTAGCCTACAAGCCTCCGACGCCCCCGACGGCCCCGACGCCCCCGACGCCACCAAGCCTCGTCGCCGGCGAGGCTAGGAGACGACGACGGACTTGACGGGCGGCGGCCCCGAAGCCTGCTCCCGCCCCTGCTGCTGCTGCTGCTTCTTCTTCATCTTCGGCCATGGCGAGGGCCGAGCTCGCCATGGCCGGCGAGCTCGAGCTCGCCCAGATCTGGGCGAGCTCTGCCCTCGCCGGCGACGAGCTCGAGCTCGCCCAGATCTGGGCGAGCTCGGCCCTCGCCGGCGACGAGCTCGAGCTCGCCCAGATCTGGGCGAGCTCGGCCCTCGCCGGCGACGAGCTCGGCCCTCGCCGACGACGAGGCTTGCCCTCGCCGGCGACGAGGCTGGCCCTCGCCAGCCATGGCGAGGGCCGAGCTCGCCATGGCCGGCCAGCTCGAGCTCGCCCAGATCTGGGCAAGCTCGGCCCTCGCCGGCGACGAGCTTGAGCTCGCCCAGATCTGGGCAAGCTCGGCCCTCGCCGGCGACGAGGCTGGCCCTCGCCGGCGGCGAGGGCTATTTTTCGATAAAAAAAAAAATTTTCGACCAAATTTTTTTTTTTCGATGGAAAAAAAATTTCCACGATTTTTAATTCGACCAAAAAAAAATTTGTAGTTTCCAACGAAAAAAATTCGTCGGAAAAAAAAATTCGTTTCCAACGAATTTAGCCACGAGTTTTCCAACGAATTTTCCAACGAAAAAAAATTTGTCGCAAATTTCCAACGAAAATTGAAATTTTTCGTTGGAAAAATTTGCGACGACTGATTACCAACGAATTTTTTTTCGTTGGAAAATTCGTTGGAAATTCGTTTTCCAACGAATTTTTTCAAATTTTTCGTTGGAAATTTCGTCGAAAAAAATATGTTTTTTTGTAGTGATTAGGAGAGACACCGCTTCTTCTTTTTCTTCCGCAAAATTAATCCTTTCCATGCTTTGTGTATTTAAATTGGTACGACATTCAGATTTGTAATGTCCATACCTATGGCATCTAAAACACTCTACTCTAGATTTGTCTACTGACCTTGGTTTGAAAACAGTTGAGTGCTGACCTCCACGTCCTCGTCCTCCACCTTGAGCATCATGAGAAAAATGACCATTAGGCTTTTGATTGAAACTGCGACGTTCATTAGTTCCCCTTCCTCTACCTCTGCCACTATTCGTTCTTGTTGTTGACGAAAAGTGATCTGTAGTTGCCTTCAACGCCTTCTCTTCCGGCTCTTGCTGAAGAAAATTTTGTTTGTGAACCAACAACGACCCTTGCAGTTCATCAATTGAGAGTTCTTCAATGTCCTTGGCTTCTTGTATAGAACAAACAACAAAGTTAAACTCTGGTGTCAGAAATCGAAGAATCTTCTCAACGATGGTGACATCCTCCGTCTTATCGCCGTGAATCCGCATCTTATTGACAATTGCCATTGTCCGAGAGAAAAAATTGGTAATTGACTCTCCCGACTTCATTCTTAGTAACTCAAACTCTCCACGAAGCATTTGAAGTTGCTGCCTTTTTGCTCTTGCGGTACCTTGATATTTTTTCTTCATGGAATCCCATATGTGCTTGGAGGTATCCTTACAGAGAATTGTCTCCAAGATAGATTTGTCAATGGCCTGAGAAAGGTAGTTTTTGGCCTTAAGATCTTTCAATCTTGCTGCTTCCAGTGCCGTCCGTTGTGCTGCTGTCAACATATATAGCTCCTTCTTCTGGTTCGGCAACTCCAGAGATAACAACATTCCAATATTCCTTGGATTTCAGGAAGTTCTCCATTAGCATGCTCCAATGATCATAATGACCATCAAAGCGTGGAATAGTTGGTTGGACAAAGGTTTCTGAAGCCATCACCGCTGCTGGATACCAAGAAAAAATCTTTCCTCGCGTGTTTTCAACTCAAGCTCACTTTTTGGCTACTGCCTTTCACTCTCACTTTTTCCTCTCGTGTTTTTAACTCACTTTTCCTTCTTTAATGGCTCTGATACCACTGTTACAGAAAAGGTGCAAAAGCTGGCTGTGCTTTGCAAGCACAAAGAAAAAACACAGAAAAGAGAGTTAGAGAGAAGAGAGTGTACACCCGTGAAAAAATACTTACTGCATTCATTCGTCATAATTGAATAACAACGTAGCCTTTTAGATAGGCCATACACCAACAGAAATCCCAGAAAAGTAGCCACAACAATTGACCCACTATGCTGAACTATCTACCCACTATCCTGAACGTGTGTGCAGCAACAAACATGCTGCAACAGATTGCTATAAACTAGGACAACCAACTAGGCTTTATTATAAAAAAAAAAAACAAATACTTTGACTAATTCAACACATTCATGGGGCACAGGAATTCCACTGGGGTTTCAGCAAAAGGTCTTGCGTTGATCACAGCTTCTTGAGCACGCCGAACTTTTGTCGCAGCCACCAACTTCATTGCTTCAGTGATCTTCTGCGTGCTCTTCACGGACTCAACTCGTTCTATGAGTTCTTGAAGACCGCAACAAATTGGTGCATGAAGTGAAGATTGACAAATTTGAGAATGAGCACTTGACAGCGCGATCGGAAGAGAAACGCGAAGAGGGTTTTGGCGAAATTGAGAGACAGAGTGAAGATGTGTCCGAAAATGGTGGTCTTGACTTGAGGTGACCCATGAGTTAAGATTGGAGCAGTACATGGTCATATATATGGGTTTTCAATCTTTTCCTTTTCAGCAACTAATCTCCAAGCTAGGACTGGAGAGCCAGGAGATCTCTTTTATCACTCGGCAACCACTTTGGTGGTGCGAAAGAAATTATGTTTAGCCGTATATATCACGACATCCTAGTACAGGAAAAGACAATATCTTGACTTAATTGAACAGTTGACCAAGGTCTTTTTAAAGAGTCCTTGATGAAGCCGTGTTTTGTTCCAATCACAATTTGACTTTCTCTCAATTCTCGAACACATTTTCCTTGAAAATCGCGTTAATTTGCGAGTTAAATCACGTTAGCGTTAACCCAGTAGGTTCTCACTCGAAGGTAATAACCCATCTGTCAACCCAAGCGTGAAAGGCTACTATACCTACTTACCTGGTGGTAACTAGCCAGAGCCGACCCAAACGTGAAAGGCTACTATATCTACTTACCTGGTGGTAACTAGCCAGAGCCGACGTAGTGTCTACCTTCGCCACGCAGATGCTCCCCTCGTTCCAGGTGGATATTTATCTTCCCCACCTAGAGGGAATATCCCTTTGAGGTTTTACATCCCCAAAAGCTTCAGGGAGGGATCTCAGGAGATGGAGTCTTTTAAGGACCTGCTTAGCTCCAGGCAACCGCTTTGGTGGTGTGGAAGAAATTATGTTTGGCCGTCTATATCACGACATCCTAGTACAGGAAAAGACAATATCTTGACTCAATTGAACAGTTGACCAAGGTCTTTTTAAAGAGTCCTTGATGAAGCGGTGTTCTGTTCCAATCACAATTTGACTTTCTCTCAATTCTCGAACACGTTTTCCTTGAAAATCTCCCAAATCACTATCCAAAGCTACCTTGTTTTGTCGCAACCTCCGCTTATTCTCTCCCATTCTCAGTTCATCTCTCGAATCATCTGTCCTTCCCTCTCTGTTTCCCTCGAAATTCAGTGCATTCTGCACAATTCCTGATTCCGGAATCCTATCTTTCCTCCGTATCTGATCATTGTTTGTTCTCTCCGAAGAGAAATAAAGACATGGGTTGTTGTCTCACTAAGGACAAAGCTCCAGAGCCACAGCAAAATGGGTACAGATTTGGGGGTGCGAATGACCAGAGACCCCATGAACAACAGCACCCCAAACCAGTCCAGAAGTTGGACACAATCCTGGGCCAGCCCTATGAAGATGTCAAGTCTTACTATACACTTGGGAAAGAACTAGGTAGAGGTCAGTTTGATGTCACTTATCTCTGTACTGAGATTTCCACTGGTAGGCAATATGCTTGTAAGTCCATTTCAAAGAGGCAGCTTGTGTGCAAGAATGATAAGGAGAGCGTGAGAAGGGAGATTCAGATCATGCAGCATTTGAGTGGCCAGCCCAATATAGTGGAGTTCAAGGGTGCTTATGAGGACCGGAAATCGGTCCACCTTGTAGTGGAGCTCTGTGCCGGTGGCAACCTTTTCGAAAGGATCATCGCCAAGGGTCACTACAGCGAGAGAGCAGCGGCTACAGTCTGTAGGGAGATTGTCAATGTTGTTCATGCCTGCCATTTCATGGGTGTTATGCATAGGAATCTCAAGCCCGAGAGCTTCTTGTTGGTTAGCAAGGATGAGAATGCCCACTTGAAGGCTACAGATTTCGGATTGTCCGTGTTCATCGAAGAAGGTGAATATTCTATTTTTCGCTTACAAATTCTTCCTGTTTGGTTGGTTCATGACTGCCGACTGGTATTATGGAATGAAATGGACCAGCTTTCACTTTCGGAAGTGAAGTGGTAAATAGTTTGCAATTGTAGGATGTATCGAACCTTCAGCTTGGTGATAAAATGTTAGAATGGTGCCAGTCAGTTCTTCAGGGAGTCTAGAGTGCATGTAAGATTATTACATGCGAAGGGTATAGCAATGAGCTGATAATTTATTCGTAAGTATACGTATTCCTTGACTCTAGTTAAGTTTTGGCAAATCAATGAACTGGGAGTGAATTTACTCTTATGACAAGGATGTGAATTTCGACACATTGTATACTACCCTCTTTTAGGAGGTTAGATGCTGAGTTGCTGCATGATTTTCTACAGAAGAGTAGTATTTGGCACAAACTTGTGTTGTTTATTCCTGTCAAAGATTGTAGCAGGTCCCTGATGTCTCTTGTACAACGCTAGATGCTTGAAAGGCAGTTGTTGCTTGCAAGTGAAAATTGATGTGGTGTACAACTGAGATTTGCTGTTGCTGGTTGCTGACGAAAGTATCTTTGCAGTTAGGCTCAGCTTTATGTTCTGTTATAGCTCTCAAACTTTAGAAGAAATTGAGTGGATATGACTTGGCATAATTATGCATATGGCTTTTTTAACTGTATCTATTGCTTACCTCTTATTTTCCAGGCAAGGTGTACCGGGATATTGTCGGGAGTGCTTACTATGTTGCTCCTGAGGTTTTGCGGTGCAATTACGGGAAGGAAATAGACATTTGGAGTGCAGGAGTCATACTTTATATCCTACTCAGTGGCGTGCCTCCATTCTGGGCTGGTAAAGGCTATATCCTTCTCTTTGTCCTTTGTTTCCTTACATAATTCTTCATGCTCTAAGGAGTACGTAGTTCAATCATCTCTTCAGAACCATGCCAAACGGTAAAGCAGTGCATGATTTTGGCATCGGTAGTATCTAATAAGCGCGCATTGCAGAAACAGAGAAGGGGATATTTGATGCGATACTGCAAGGGGATATCGATTTTGAAAGTCAACCATGGCCAACTATATCCACTAGTGCTAAGGACCTGGTCAAGAAAATGTTAACGAAGGACCCAAAGAAAAGGATTACTTCTGCACAGGTTTTAGGTGATTTTACTTCTGCCTTACAAGACACATGCTCTTAGAAATGTTTGATGTGAGTCAATTTTGTAGATTTCCTTTTGACTTGGAAGCCTCCATGCTACTCTATCAGAGGATATGATTGTTTCGCAATAAATGAAGTAGGAGAAATGCTAGCTCTATTATCTAAGCTTGGGTTTATGACTAATGAGATTCTTTCTACTAAACAATGAAAGTAGGAGTCATCTTCTGGCATGTTACTTCTCTAGATATGGTCCAAATGTCAAACTTGCCGGTACATTAGAAGCTTATATTATCTTCTGATCAACCACGTGCTATTTCTGTCTCATGCAGAGCATCATTGGATTAAGGAAGGTGGAAATGCATCAGACAAGCCAATAGACAGTGCTGTCCTTTCAAGAATGAAGCAATTCAGAGCAATGAACAAGTTGAAGAAACTTGCATTGAAGGTTGGTCCCTGCATTATTGGAGTGCATCTTGTTTCTTTATGTCCCTATTTGTATTTGCTGAAAGAGTATACAAGTGTAACTGAAGGGATTGTTTCTGGATGGGAGTGTTTCCCGTGTTTCCAAATTCAAATTATTTGTGTTTGCTAATTGTTTGACAGCGTGTTTAGTTCAAATTGCTATTTCCAAGTCTTAATTTAGTACAGAGATTGACTAGGCAATCATTTCTTGCTAATGATTTTGCTATTGTAAAATGAAAATAGGTAATCGCTGAAAATCTATCTGAAGAAGATATTCAAGGGTTGAAAGCAATGTTTGCGAATATGGATACCGACAAGAGTGGAACGATCACCTATGAGGAGCTGAAGACTGGATTGGCTCGGCTTGGATCGAAGCTCACAGAGGCAGAAGTAAAGCAGCTGATGGACGCAGTAAGATATATGTTATGGAGTGCCCAACTTATTCAACCTGATTTTATTTTTTTTTTGGTGTGAGGAAATTGAATTGGTGCGACTGATATCCTTGTTCTGTACTTCAGGCTGATGTGGATGGAAACGGAAGTATTGACTACATTGAGTTCGTAACAGCTACAATGCATAGACACAAGCTAGAGTCAGATGAACATCTTTACAAAGCCTTCCAGCATTTCGATAACGATAATAGTGGGTAAGTGTTCCCTTCCCACATGTCATAAACTGTTAAAGAATCGGGACTTGTGTCACGGTGAATTTCATGGTCCATCTCTCCAGACATTGAATATGGATCTACTTGGTTATACCCACAATTTATCGAAGGCAATTCATGTCTCAAATTCTATTTAATGTTTGAAGTTCTTCCTTCTCTGCGTTAAGTGTAAAAACGACTACTGACGCAAGTGATTATTTTTTTTCTCGATTATTGCAGGTTCATCACAATGGATGAAATTGAGACAGCCATGAGAAGATATGGAATGGGAGATGAAGACACCATTAAAGATATTATGGCCGAAGTTGACACAGACCATGTGAGTTTGATTTCCTTTGGATTTAAGGTTGCTTTTTGTTTGGAAAAAAATTTCTGGTTTATGTTTTCCCCTACAAGTCTTGTGAGCATTCATATCTTTTAATTTTATCCTTGCTTTTCTGTGGAATCTTCACTCGGCACATTTTGTGCTCCTTCATCGCTTTGTTCCCTATTAATGATTATGCTCAGTAAAACCAAAGAACTCTTTCATGAATTCTAGGTTTCCTCTTTTCCAGATGGTATTGCCGTTTGAAAATGGTATTGCCATTTTCCAACATTTTACAAAGCTAATCCCGTTGAACACGTCTATTTTCTTCACTGACAATAGTTCGGAAGTCCCACAAAGCACCCGCATACTCTTTTTAGCATCACGAGCTTATACATTTTCTTCTGTGTTGGCAGGACGGCAGAATCAACTACCAGGAGTTCTGTGCAATGATGAGAAGTGGAAACCAAAACCAGGGGAGTCTCTTCTAGGCACCAATCAACAACTAGGAGGGGCTCTTTCACGCCTACAGACGAACTATTGTAAATTGAAGTTAAGCACTCTAAAATATGGAAGCTGTTTCTTGACCTGGAAAGTTGATTCTACTTCGAGATATATTTTTGTTCGCCTGAGATGCCAATAGAAGCATGCAGCTCATGGCATTTTTTTGGGCCTTTCCTATGGTTCATTTTTGTACTGTCAATTTCTTGAAGATCACTGTGAGAGAAGATGTCATTTGAAAACACAGCCTGGCTGAAGAAGCTGCCTCTTTACTGTTGTAAATAATTGTAAAGTCCTCTCTTTTGAACCTTAATAGTTCCGAAACCTGAGATTGGTAGGTAAACCCGAGTACGGAGGAATATTGACTTTGTTTGCAGTTTTTTGTCTGATTGATAGTTCGAATTGTTGTCATCTTGCTTAAGGTTTGCCATAAATGAAGTAATTGATGGAGGTTACGGCATTTTTTTTAATGGAGACATTCTGTCTGTTCTTAAGAAAGGATGAGAATCTTCTATAGACATCTCAAAGCCGTAGGAAAACACATATGCACTCTTGTATGGATTAAATGTAGAAATAACATGACATGCTGCACGGGCAGCTATATTTCATGGTTCTTTAATTGCCTATAGGCAGTTTCCATGTACCCAGATTAGACTGTCATGTTCTTTCTAATCTCGATTGTATGGCAATTAAAGTTGGTAGGATGAAGAACATTAACATTCATTTGGTCAAGCCACCATAGATCTACCCCGCCGTTTTTTTATCATGGGAGGTTTTCTCCCGACCCTTAAATCACAATACCATGTTTTGGAAATTGAACAAACATATCAACACGAGAAGTTATCATATCTACATCTGAACTTCCAAATCCCATTCTCCACAAAGGATCATAACATCCCATTGAGGTTTACAAGTCTAGACAGCATCAAAGAGAAAGCAAAAAGGAGGAAAAACACAACCTAACAACTTCTCCAGCAGTCAAAGCCACCGGATTATTCAGGATTCTACAGAACCCACATAAAAGCAAGCACCTCCAGTAATTATAGTAGTAGACACACGACACAGTGACCGATCATGAACCCTGGTCTCTCTTAGAAACCATGAATCTTGATCTGGTCTTTCTTCACGAGGCCGGCCTGGACCAGAAAGTGGTAATCAATTTCTTGAAGATCACTGTGAAAGAAAAATAAAAAATTATACCAACTGTACCTGCAAGAGAATGAAATCGGGTGAAAAACCTCCCCCCAATCCGTCAAGAACAGACCCTCCCCCAGTGAAAATTGATGTGGTGTACAACTGAGATCCGCTGTTGCTGGTTGCTGACGAAAGTAACTCTGCAGTTAGGCTCAGCTTTATGTTCTGTTATAGCTCTCAAACTTTAGAAGAAATCAAGTTGGATATGTACTTAGCATAATTATGCATATGGTTTTTGTGACTGTTTCCATTGCTTACCTTTTAAACTAATTTTCCAGGCAAGGAGTACCGGGATTTTGTCGGGAGTGCTTACCATGTTGCTCCTGAGGTTTTGCGGCGCAATCATGGGAAGGAAATAGACATTTGGAGTGCAGGAGTCGTACTTTATATCCTACTCAGTGGCGTGCCTCCATTCTGGGCTGGTAAAGACTATATATCCTTCTCTTTTCCGTTTGTTTCCTTACGTGATTCTTCATGCTCTTAGGAGCATGTAGTGCAATCATTTCTTCAGAACCATGCCAGACGGTAAACTGGTGCATGATTTTGGCATCGGTAGTATCTAATAAGTGCGCATTGCAGAAACTGGGAAGGAGATATATGACGCGATACTGCAAGGAGATACTGATTTTGAAAGTCAACCATGGCCAACTATATCCACTAGTGCTAAGGACCTGGTCAAGAAAATGTTAACGAAGGACCCGAATAAAAGGATTACTTCTGCACAGGTTTTAGGTGATTTTACTTCTGCCTTACAAGACACATGCTCTTAGAAATTTTTTATGTCAGTCAATTTTATAGGAATCATTTTGACTTGGAATCCTCCATGCTACTCTATCAGGGATATAATTGTTTCGCAATATATGAAGTATGAGAAATGCTAGCTCTATTATCTAAGCCTGGGTTTATGACTAATAAGATTCTTTCTACTAAACAATGAAAGAAGGAGTCCTCTTCTGGCATGTTATTTCTCTAGATATAGTCCAAATGTCAAACTTGCTGGGGCATTAGAAGCTTATACTCTCTTCTGATCAACCCTGTGATATTTCTGTCTCATGCAGAGCATCATTGGATTAAGGAAGGCGGAAATGCATCAGACAAGCCAATAGACAGTGCTGTCCTTTCAAGAATGAAGCAATTCAGAGCAATGAACAAGTTGAAGAAACTTGCATTAAAGGTTAGTCCCTGCATTATTGGAGTGCATCTTGTTTCTTTATGTCCCTATTTGTATTTGCTGAAAGAGTATACAAGTGTCACTGAAGGATTGTTTCTGGATGGGAGTGTTTCCCGTGTTTCCAAATTCAAATTATTTGTGTTTGCTAATTGTTTGACAGTATGTTAGTTCAAATTGCTATTTCCAAGTCTTAATTTAGTACAGAGATTGACTAGGCAATCATTTCATGCTAATGATTTTGCTATTGTAAAATGAAAATAGGTAATCTCTGAAAATCTATCTGAAGAAGATATTCAAGGGTTGAAAGCAATGTTCGCGAATATGGATACCGACAAGAGTGGCACGATCACCTATGAGGAGCTGAAGACTGGATTGGCTTGGCTTGGATCGAAGCTCACAGAGGCAGAAGTGAAGCAGCTGATGGAAGCAGTAAGATATATGTTATGGAGTGTCCAACTTATTCAACCTGATTTTTTTCTCTTTTTTTGGTGTGAGGAGTTTGAATTGGTGCGACTGATATCCTTGTTCTGTACTTCAGGTTGATGTAGATGGAAACGGAAGTATTGACTACATTGTGTTCATAACAGCTACAATGGATAGACCCAAGCTAGAGAGTGATGAACATCTTTACAAAGCCTTCCAGCATTTCGATAAGGATAATAGTGGGCAAGTGTTCCCTTCCCACGTCATAAACTGTTCAAGAATCAGGACTTGTGTCTCTCTGAATTTCATGGTCCATCTCTCCAGACATTGAATATGGATCTACTTGGTTATACCCACAATCTATCGAAGGCATTTCATGCATCAAATTCTATTTGAAGTTTGAAGTTCTTCCTTCTCTGCGTTAAGTGTAAAAACAACTACTGACGCAAGTGATATCATTATTTTCTTGATTTTCGCAGGTTCATCACAATGGATGAAATTGAGACTGCCATGAGAGGATATGGAATGGGAGATGAAGACACCATTAAAGATATCATAGCCAAAGTTGACAGAGACAATGTGAGTTTGATTTCCTTTGGATTTAAGGTTGCTTTTGTTTTGAAAATGGTATTGACGTTTTCCAACTTTCTAGAAAGCTAATCCTGTTGAACACTTCTATTTTCTTCACTGACAATGAAATTGGAAACTACGGAAGTCCCACAAAAGTAACCGCATACTCCTTTTAGCATCAAGAGCTTATACGTTTTCTTCTGTGTTGGCAGGACGGTAGAATCAACTACCAGGAGTTCTGCGCAATGATGAGAAGTGGCAACCAACGCCAGGGGAGACTCTTCTAGGCACCAATCAACAACTACGGGTGCCCTTTCACGTCTACAGATGAACTATTGTAAATTGAAGTTATGCAATCTAAAATTTGGAAGCCGTTTCTTGACCTGGAAAGTTGATTTTGCTTCGAGATTTATTTTTGTTCGCCTGAGATGCCAAATAGAGGCACGCAACTCATGGCATTTTTTTTGGGCCTTTCGTACGGTTCATTTTTGTACTGTTAATTTCTTGAAGATCACTGTGAGAGCAGATGTCATTTGAAAACACAGCCTGGCTGAAGAAGCTGCTTCTTTACTGTTGTAAATAATGGTAAAATCCTCTCTTTTGAAGCTTCATGATTCCGAAACCTGAGAGTGGCAAACCCGAGTACGGAGGAACATTGACTTTGCTTGCAGTTTTTTTTTCTGATTGATAGTTCGAATTGTTGTCATCTTGCTCAAGGTTTACCATAATTGAAGTAATTGATGGAAGTTACCACGTTTTTTTAAATAGAGACATTCTGTTCGTTCCTAAGACAGGATGAGAATCTTCTCTCTAGACATCTCAAAGCCTTGGGAGAACAGTATGAACTCTTATATGTATGAAATGGAGAAATCACAAAACATGCTGCACCGGTAGTTACTTTTCATGGTTCTTTCATTACCTACGCACGCAATTTCTATGTATCCATATTAGACTCTCACGTTCTTTCTAATCACGAATATATGGCAATTAAAGTTGGTCGGATGAAGACGATAAACATTAATTTGGTCAAGCCTCCATAGATCTACCCCGCCTCTTTTATCATGGGAGGTTTTCTCTTGACCCTTAAATCACAACACCATGTTTTGGAAATTGAACGAACATATCAACATGAGAAGTTATCACATCAACATCTGAACTTCCAAATCCCATCCTCCACAAAGGACGATAAGATCCCATTTAAGTTTACAAGTCTAGACAACAGCAGAGAGAAACCAAAAGGAGGAAAAACACAACCTAACAACTTCCCCAGCAGTCAAAGCCACCAGATTATTCAGGATTCTACAGAACCCACATAAAAGCAAGCATCTCCAGAAATTATAGTAGTAAGCACACCAGGCTTAAAGTGTTAAAGGGTTCAGAAAAGCTGCACTAAATTTGTCTTACAGCGGCTAATCCATCATCGCATGTACACAAGTTGAGCTCTTTGCAACATAATCCATTGACGAGCATCGCTTACAGTTTCTGTCAATGTGGCCTTTCAGTTGGTTGCAAATTCAGCTGCCATGAAAGGGTAATGCTTAAGCGCGATATCAGTTAGGTAATAGAAACCAAAAACACTCGCTGGCACAAACCATGAAGAGGTAAGGCCATAGCAAATTAAGGTCTGTTTTTCTGCCAATAATTCTCTCTCCCACAACAAAATATATCGAGCACTCTCCATCGTTTTTAGTCTCTACTTCCCATCTCTTCTGTTACTCTCAATTCTTTTATCGGTCATATAATTGCAGACAAACTTATCAGAATGCAGGAGAGCAAGTAGAGAAGGCAGGGTAAGGAATCGACTAGAGAAGCTCCCTCCTTAAGTTCATCCAGAACTCCGGGCAGTGCAAGTCAGGCCGCTGGAGGAGGATTGTCAACTCTTATGATTACAATTGTCAATAGATTTGCCAGGCAGAAGGAAGTAAAGAGAAAGTTGAAGATGAAATCGGCACCTTTGAGTATTTCCCTCCCGATACTTAAAATGGAGAGAACATGTCCATCCATGAGATGTATGATCCTCATTACTAACTAAATACCAGTAAAAGAGCAAACAAGGTGGAGTGCTTACCGCCATGGCCAATTTTCTCTTCCCTAAAAAACTGCTATCAGAAATATGCCACCCATAGCACCAATTCTGCCAGCCACACAGTATACACTTCTCATTTTGTTGATGCCCATTTGACCAAACAGCCACTGAACTACATAATATCCGATCACACTCCAGCAATGGCAGTAACTAGTGTTTCTCCAGGGAGCAGATAAATGTTGAATGATCCCACTACTAAATGAGAGATTAACCAGAAAAATTCCAACATAAAACATTCCCTAAAAGTGCACTCCGGGCATCATATTACTCTAACTAACTGCAGCAATTAGAAAGCATCATATTCGGGTCTTCAATGTAATGACTTTAGGTTAGCATTTAGTAGAGAAGAAAGAATGAGATAATACAATAATGATGATCGACAAAGGCATACAGCTAATTCTTTTTGTGAAGTTGCGATGAACCAAAATATGGCAAAGAGTTTTTCTTCCCAGCCAGAGCACAAAGAATGAAACAAAAAGAGACTACCTTCTCCGCTCAGATATTATTGTCAATTCAACAATCAGCCAATTAATCCTCCAAGTGTCGGCAAAAGTATGTGCAGATAGCAGAGGGAATCTAGCCATGAAAAGAAGAAATGTTCCTAATAAATGAAAATTGTAAGTGCCTCAAGCCTCCAAATTAATCAAAATCTGTTAGTGCCTCAGCTCCAGCCACAATTTCCAATAATTCCCCTGTAATCTTTGCCTGCCGTTCCCTGTTATAAGCCATTGAGAGATTCTTTTTCAATTCAACGGCATTGTCGGTCGCATTACTCATGGCATTCATCCTAGCAGCTAGCTCGCTGGCAATTGATTCCTGCAATGCCCTCAAAATCTGGCTATTCAAATACAGAGGCATCATAGCATCGAGAATCTGAACAGGGTCTTGCTCAAACTGCAACAGAGGCGAAATCTCGCTGTTCCTCTTCTCAGTTTGCTCCCACTCAACTGACAATTTCCCTTCTTCAGTAGTCAATCTGAATAACTCATCCCCATCGGCATCAACACTATTTCCATTCACATCAAGCACCTCTCCCTTGGGCGACAAAGGAAGCAAAGTATGGATAACCGGATCAGACTTGATCAATGACACAAACTTAGTGTACACTAACTCGACTTTATCGACCTCTTCGCTAACGAACAATGAGAAGACATCGTCCGCAATCACCTGGGCTTCCTTCGCCGTAGGAAAACTGTCTCCCTCTATAAACCTATCAACTGGAACATGAGGCCTGCGCTTAAAATATGAATTACCCTTTTTTCCGATGCTAATCAAGGTGTAGTCCAATCCAAGATTTTCCAGTTCCACGATCCGGGTCTCGGCCTTCTTGAGGACCGCATTGTTGAATCCACCACAAAGACCCCGATCACCAGTCACAACAACGAGAGCGACTTTCCTTACGGGCCTGATGATTGTCAAAGGAACATCTACATCCTCCCCTTGAAGCTGTTCATTCATGTGGCACAGGAATTCCACTAGGGTTTCAGCAAACGGTCTTGTATTGATCACGGCTTCTTGAGCACGCCGGACTTTCGCCGCGGCCACCAACTTCATCGCTTCGGTGATCTTCTGCGTGCTCTTCACGGACTCAATTCGTTCTCTGAGTTCTCGGAGACCGCAACGAATTGGTGCATAGAGTGAAGATTGATGAGTTGGAGATGGAGCACTTGATGGCGAGATTGGAAGAGAAACGCGAAGAGGGTTTTGGCGAAGTTGAGAGACGAGCGAAGATGTGTCCGAAAATGGTGGTCTTGAGGTGATCCACGGGTTAAGATTGGAGCAATGCATGGTTTTGTGGGTTTTCGATCTTTTCCTTCGCAGCAACTAATCTCCAGGGGCTCGAGGGGATAGAGAGGGTTTATGGTGAGAGCAGTTTAAAGGGTCAAAATGAATTCGTTCCTGAACATACCGGAAAGAGAAACTGGGAATGCCGGCGATGCTACTGTACTTTTCCGGCGATGCCTCCAACGGTGCCTCCGCCGCGCCAGCCGGCGGAGACGTGCTCCCGTCTTGGCTTCTGTATCGCCCCGACCCAAGACTGAGGAGTGGGATTACGTTTTGCTTTCTTCCTTTTTTGGTTCCGTTAGTTTCTGTATTCTGTATCGTCGAGTGCTCTAGTCCGACTAGTCAGAGTGAAAATAATTCGTCAAATTTGAGTAAACTTTGATCCATTAAACTTTATAATCTGCATCTCTCGTCCGTTTAATTTCTTTTTTTCCTTTTTTGCCTAGGCAAATGAAAGGATAATAATCCCGAATTTTAGCCTAAAGTACAGCATCGTTCTCGAACTATTAATTTATTCAGTGTGATCCTTAAATTTTTAATACATATTTAATATAATCTTGTGCATGTACTAAAAATTAAAGATGATATCGTATATTAAATTAAGGGTCAGAGATTATACTGGTTAAATTAAAAATTTATGAATTAAGTTACACAAATTTAAAAATTATTTGCGTAATTATCCCGTTCGTTTACGAGGGTTCCCTGGCTAAACGCTCCAATGACCCCGCGCGAATCGGGCGCGTGCCCGAACGCGAGGCCCCTCCCTTCGAAATTATTCGATTTGGCGGAAGCGAAACAAAAAAAACAGAAAACGAAGAAGTTTTTCCCTCTTCGCCTTCGCCACCCCTTCTTCTCTCTCCTTCTCTTCTTCTCGCACCTTCTTCTTCCGCTCTCCTTCACTTTCCCACTCCCTCCTCCTTCGCCTCTCCCTCTGAAACCCCTCGCCCGCCCTTCCATCTCCATCGGCCATGCACGCCCTCGCCTCCCCGTCCCCTCCTCCTTCCCTCCTCGCCATCTCCAGAGCTCGCTCCGCCTCCGCTCCTCTCCCCCGGACTCCCTCTTCCTCCGCCGCCGCCTCCTTCCTCCCCCCCGCGGCGTCCTCTCGCCGGGACCGCTCGCTCCTCCTCGTCGTCCTCCCCCCCACCGCCTTCCGTTCCGAAGAGCGCCGATCGGAGCTTCCGCTGCCCGAGGCTACGCGCTCGGATTAGAAGCGGTGCTCCGGTCGTCGACAGGTTGCGGCGAAGGATCGCTACTACGCGTACGGGATTCCCGTTGACTCTCTGCTTTCAGCATGATCGCCATTGACGATATCAGTTATGTTAAAAACTAAGTGCAAGCTAGATAAACTCCAAAAGTAACTTCACTATAAGAACAAAGAGACCGTCATCGTCCTGGTGTTGGATTATAGATGAACATTTTGACGTACTGTCATCTCTCATGCGAGCATTTCTAATGGAGGTGGCGTTGAGTGGAGGAGTGATGTTTGTCTGCGGTCAAGTGTAACTCCGTGTAGAGTGGACGATCACGTGGAAGCCTTTTGCGTCCGGTGCTTTTTGTGGTGTGCTTTTTGGATAAACTGTCGCATGTGGAGTGCATATAAGGAATTGTTTCCGTTGCGCGCGTTTACTTGCATATGTAGTTTGTGATTTATGAGTTGCCTTTTCAATTAGTCTCTTCTGGATTACTCATGAATTAGTTCGCATAACCTCTGCCAGAGTCTCATGTTGGTAATTCGTATTGTTTTCTGTATGATTGATCTTAGCTATAAATCTGATTGGATTCAATTATCTATTGCATGAAAGTGGGGTGCATGCATAACTTAATTTTGATAGGTGAATAGATGGTCGAGGATCATAGTAATTCCGCTCATGGGCTAGTCTTGTACCGCACTCATAATAGAATGAAATCAGACGTGGAGATCACGGATTATCTGGCTGATGAGATATGATTTTGCAAGTCCTAAATGCCAAGCTACCTATTTCAATTTTCCTCCCTTGAATTCCAGCTCCAGAACATGCTTTCAAGAGAATATTGACAAGCCTTCCCAAGCCTGGAGGTGGCGAGTTTGGAAAGTTTTATAGCTTACCAGCTTTGAACGATCCCCGAGTAGGTACGTGCATCAATTTCATTGATGGATGATGCATTTACTCTGTTCTCATCAAAGATCTTTTCAAAACAACAAAAATCAAGTTCTTTTGAACGTGCCACAAACTAAAAGTAGAAGTGTAGAAATCGTTTTCTGAGAAACATTCTCTTTTGCCAGTTTTTGTCCATTTAATTTGTTCACCAAAGACTACATTGCTAATCAAATCTAATTCTCTGGCAAAAATGAAAATTATGGATTCCTCAAAATGCATTTTCTTGAATGCAAACTAAGATTATATCGCCCTATTGATTTCTGTGTTCATCCAATTCTTGCCTGGGGTCCAATTAAGTTGTTGCCATCATTCCTGAACAATGCAGAGAGGCTGCCCTACTCTATAAGAATACTCTTGGAATCTGCTATTCGTAATTGCGACAATTTCCTAGTCACCAAGGATGATGTTGAAAAGATCATTGACTGGGAGAACACATCACCTAAGCAAGTTGAAATCCACTTCAAGCCTGCCTGCGTCCTGTTGCAGGTTAAAAATTAATTATATGATGACAGTAGCTTGCTTTTTGGGTTGTGCTTTACACATTTTAAGGCTTCTGAGTTGTTGAACAGGATTTTACAGGAGTACCGGCGGTGGTTGACCTTGCTTGCATGCGGGATGCCATGAAGGATCTTGGCATTGATCCTGAAAAGATCAATCCGTTGGTTGGTGACTTTTGAACAAGTTGATTTGTTAATTTTTTGTTATTTCCAAATTCCAATTACTATTTCCTCTACAAGGTGATCCCTATATGTATGATTTGTCACGTCTACCAAAACCTGGGAAAATAAAAGTTCAAGCTATTTGCACAAGAACGCTCACTTTTGCTGAGTCATGGCCTTAATTATTTTTCGTTGGTACTCTGAAGTCAAAGATTTGTTTTTACGCTAAACAAAAGCTTATAGAAGTTTGCAATTGCACTGTTTCTCATGAGAGCGATCAACTACATGGCAATTCACATGGAGTCAAGATCTCTAGAAAACTAACGGCATCCCAACATGAGTAGTCACATTTGAATGTTTGTTTTAAAATCTTGAGGATTCAATAATTGGGGCTATTGACTTACAATATCTCACACCTGCAGGTTCCAGTGGACCTGGTTGTCGATCATTCTGTTCAGGTTGATGTAGCCAGAAATGAGAATGCTTTGCAGGCTAATATGGAATTGGAGTTTCACAGAAACAAAGAGAGATTTGCTTTCCTCAAGTGGGGATCCACTGCTTTCCATAACATGCTTGTTGTGCCACCTGGTTCTGGGATAGTCCACCAGGTGAGGATGTTTCAGCGGTCCACGGATAAAACTTAATTTGACCCCCCCCCCCCCCCCCCCCCCCTTCTCTCTCTCTCTCTCTCTCCCTGTGGATAAAAATCTGGGCAACGCATTAATCAATTTGGTTTGTGGAAATGGTATATCCTTGATAAATTTTTCAGGTTAATCTGGAATATCTTGGAAGGGTTGTTTTTAACACTGATGGCATTCTGTACCCTGATAGTGTGGTCGGTACTGATTCCCATACAACTATGATTGATGGGTTAGGAGTAGCTGGTTGGGGAGTGGGAGGAATTGAAGCAGAGGCAGCGATGCTTGGACAGGTAGACTTCAACATATCTGCTTCCTCTCTCTGCCACACCCCTTCATGCCCACCATTGTTTAATCTTGACTGATGTATGTTAGCAGATTTGATTTAACCAGAGTATTAATATGTTCTTTTGAAGTCTCGATAAGATAATGAGCTCTATGGCATGCTCTTAGATGTTGAGTGTGAAATGCAGTGATAAATATAGTGATCTTTGAGGAGGATGGCCAGACACCTTAAGTTACTAACTTTATTTGTGTGCAGTTAATCGAGTTTGAGGAAATTGTAATTTCTTCTCTATTTCTGTTAAGATCCTATTATAGAAGCCTCAAGAAAGAGGACTTATCTCTCTTAGAGTTCATCAATGTCCTAAATGCCTTCATTGGCATGTAATACTCCTGTAGGGACAAAGAGAAAGCATAATCTGCTATGTGATTAGAGATAACTTTTGCTTCCTCTGATCCAATATCCTTTGTATTGGACAGCCCATGAGCATGGTATTGCCTGGCGTTGTTGGGTTCAAGTTGACAGGACAGTTGTGTGATGGTGTCACTGCCACTGACTTAGTTTTAACTGTAACCCAGATGCTCAGAAAGCATGGTGTTGTCGGGAAGTTTGTTGAGTTTTATGGTGGGTTATTGAGAAGGAAACTCTGGAAATCGAATTTTCACACCATAGTTTTATTTCTTTCACACCAATTGTACGCCTCATATTTAATTTAGGTGATGGAATGGCTCGGTTATCACTAGCTGACAGGGCCACGATTGCTAACATGTCTCCCGAGTATGGGGCAACAATGGGCTTCTTCCCTGTGGATCATCTTACGTTGCAGTACCTGAGGTTAACAGGACGGAGTGATGAAACGGTGAGCTGATTTGATATAGATTTATTTTACAAATTTAGTGCCCGTTCTCTGTGAAAGATTAACCTGTCTTGCCATGTAATTTATGTTTTGTCTCAGGTGTCCATGATAGAGGCATATTTGCGTGCAAACAAGATGTTTGTTGACTATAATGAGGTGACTTTTGTCGTTTCTTTTTGTTGAAAAAGTGATCTAAAGGTGCGGATGTACCACATCTGCTTACTATTTTTGATTTTCCAGCCTCAACAAGAAAGAGCATACACATCTTATCTTCAATTGGACCTGGCAGATGTTGAACCTTCAGTTGCGGGACCAAAAAGGTAATGAATATTATTGATTCTATTGCACGTTAATCATTTTCTGTTCCCAATGATGATCTTCTTTATTTCTTCACGAAGGCCTCATGACCGAGTTCCTTTGAAAGATATGAAGGCTGATTGGCATGCTTGTCTTGATAACAAAGTTGGCTTCAAGGTAATTGCTCTGTGAAATTTGCTTGGGTATTCTAGGACGATTCTAGTTTTCTACCATTTATAAGTTTTCTTTAGCGTAATGGCTTACTATGATGAAACTCTCCTTGTGTGGAGGTTTTTCTTATGTGTATAACTTTAAGTTTGTTCAGCTTTATAGATTTTTTGTATTCTGGAAGCTAGTTGATTGCCTCCAAATGCAAATTCTATATTGCTGATTATTCGTCTGATATATGTATGTGTGTGTGTGTGTGTGTGTGTA